TCCATACTACAACGCACAACATGTATTTACGAATGTTGTATACAAAAATGGGTTTGGGAATGAATTAATGATTTTTTGGGATATTTCAAAATAGTTTTAGGGATAAAGGATATTTGTAAAAAAAAAATATTGGGATATTAGGGGTAAACATTATAGGGATATGGGATATTGGGACAAAAACTTAATGGGATATGGGATATTGATACCCCCCCCTAAACAAGCCTCATGACTTCAAGCCATACCAATGAAATTCAGGAAACACATGATGCACTCACAAGAGCAAGAGATGAGGCTGAATCAAACCCCAGCCAGGAGAATAACATCAAACTCCAACAAAGCAAAGCAAAACACATCAGAACAAAGCTCGAGTGCCAGAGAAGAGGATGGAGAGAAAAAAACATCATCTCTGAATATGGAGAAGGAAAAAAAAGCTGTGGGACTTGACAAAAGCACTAAATGATGAGGGAAGTAAAGGCCAAAAGATAACTCTGGAAGTTGAAGGAAGAACAACTGCAGAAAAAGCTGCTGCAAATACATTTGCAAAAGGTTATGAGGCAGAAAGCAATACTAATATTCCAACTTCACGTAAAAAAGAAGTAAGAACAGAAATTAGAGAAAGACAGAAATCACCAACACATGAGATCATGCTGATTGACATCACAATGTCTGAGATGAAACAATCAATAAGAAAGCTAACGAAGAAAACGTCTCCAGGTCCAGATAACATCACAAATGAGATGCTTCAACACCTAGGGAACTCAGCACTAACTACTTTGCTGGACATATTCAATCTTAGCTGGAGACAAGGTCAAGTCCCACAAAGCTAGAAGGAAGCCATAGTGATGCCAATACTAAAGAAAGGAAAGAACAAGTCAAAAGCCTCAAGTTATCGACCTATAAGCCTAACAAGCAGCTGCTGTAAATTGATGGACCGTATAATAAACAAGCGCATGCACATGTACTTAGAGTCAGTGAACATCATTGGACATGAACAAGCTGGTTTTAGACAATACAAAAGCACAGAAGACCAGACAATACATTTATCGCAAGTAAAAGAAGATGCCTTCCAATCAAAGAAAGTAACACTGGCTGTCTTTGTAGATCTACAAAGAGCATTCGATAAGGTATGGAAGAAGGACTCCTTGCAAAAATGCTTCGATATGGCATAAGTGGAAGAATGTACAAGTGGACCAAATCATATTTGTACAATAGAAGAGCCAGATTGCTGGTAAATGGGCAATGTGGACGGAAAGTACTCTTAAAACAAGGGGTCCCACAAGGAGGAGTATTACCACCAACTCTTTTCATACTCTTTATGAACGACCTAGTACCAGAGCTACCAGAAGGCGTACAATCAGCACTTTATGCAGACGATCTTGTACTCTGGTGCTCAGAGGAGTATGCAAGTACAGCGAAATACTGAAACAGCTTTAGATATGGTAGTCACATGGGCTGAGCAATGGTGTGTTACCATCAACAGAGAAAAAACAACTGGGACACTCTTCACACTCTCTCCCAAAACCCAATCTGTCAGACTGATTGTGGGTGATATTCCACTTAAAATGGAAGACCAACAAACATATGATACCTTGGGGTAACTTTTGATAAAAGAATGACGTGGAAGCAACATATAACATCAGCTGAAGCTAAGGCTAGGAGAAAACTAAGCATCACGAGGAAACTTGCAGGAACAAAATGGGGTGTGAACGAAAAAATCCTGAAATCTGTCTACCAAGGAAATGTACGCCCACATCTTGAATACGGATCTAGCTCATGTACTGTTAAGAAAACACTGACAATGAGAATGCTTGAAGACGTGTATCCTTCAGACTCCTGGGTAAGAGTATATACAGACGGGTCAGCCATAAATGCCACAACAAAAGGAGGGGCTGGTATATACATTAAGTACCCCAACGGAGATCAACAATCAGAGGCAATACCAATAGACCTACAGTGTTCAAACTACAAAGCTGAAGAAGAAACCCTTATTCATGCTGCATACTCCACCAAAAACAAAGTCGATAACACGACTCAAGTAGTATTCCTGACTGGTGCCCTCTCTGTGCTATAAGCTTTGACAAACGACAAACTACCTCAACTCGAACAAGCTTTATAAAAGAAGACTTTTTTGTTAAATAAACTGAATGTGACTTTTTTCCTTTGTAATACTGGTTATTTCAAGCATTCCTGTCAAGTTTTGTCATAATCAGTTCAATAGTTTGAGAAAAATCTAGTATAATGTAAGACGACATCTACAGCGATTCGAGCAAAATTTCTTCGAAAAATCCAAACCAAGCCGCATCATGATAGAATATAGTGTGGACCAATAAATGATCAAATATTTATCTCATCTGCCTACAAACAGTTGAATATGATACAAAAGATGACTTGAGGATGATAAATACTACTAATGGACCTCTTTGTCTTCCTTATAAGGTCTCTTTTGGTCCATTTATACCTCTAATTTCCTCAAAATTTCTACTTTTTAGGCCAATAAATAAAAATTTTGGGGTAACTTTCACTCATTTATGATAGAAATGTTATAATAAATGATTAATTGAAGTATTCAAGCTGAATGAACTATCCGTATAAAAGTTTACTGTCTCCAAGGAGGTTTCAATAAGTCCTTACGTAAAACTTAAATTTACGCCGCGTTCCAGAGAGGGACATAAAAAGCTTCTCTTTTGGTGAATAATTTGTTGTTACTGCTTTTAAAATAATTTCATTTACTTAAAACTATATATTTATTAAAGTATTTCTTAGGAAAAATTTTCTGGTATGGCAGAATATAAGAAATAAGGAGAAAAAACTCCCCAATACTCTAAGTATGGCTTGTTCTGTAAACTAATATTCATGGTAAAGTCCTATTTCAAGGAAATTTTCTCATAAAATGTGTTTTGGAGACTCAATCCACTCAGAATATTTCATTATTTGTAATATTTCACTTAAATAGCAAGAAATTTTAACACATGAGAGTACTCACAAGGTCAAAGGTGCATGTACAGCTTCCCATATTAGGTGTAATACCACCATTGATTTTCCCCTATTAGTCTTTGTTAAATTTGCACTTTTCAAAAAATTGTGCAGAATTTATCTTTGTTTCAAATAAAGAAATACTTGGCATGAGTAAAGTTTTATCCTGTCCAGTACTATAGAAAAAAATTCACATAACATTTCATTGCATATAAGAAAATAACCATCACTGGAAGTTAACCAATCAAATTTTCCCCCTTTCTTAACCTGTGTACAAGCTTTAGTAACCATGTAACCTCAAGTTTCCAAAATATTCTATAGAAACCCCAAATAAAAAAATAATGGTGCTTTGAAATACCCAAGATATATTTTTATGACCCAGAAATGTTTTACTGCAATGAAATGTAGGATCAATTACCTACAACTGTCAAATTCAAGGGAATATTTTTTTTCGACCTATTTTCGTATGCAACCGGATGTGACGTACTATGATTTGGTGGTATTACACCTATATACCATCAAAAGTCTGACAACAGTACTGCAGTGGATCCCTTCTCACTGTGGAGTTTGGGGTAATGAACAAGACGATAAATTAGCAAAGCATGGTGCCGAACAAGAAGAAGAAAAAAATCCAGTCTGCTACACAGAGATGAAGACTATCATCAAATCTCTGTTCAACACCCCTCAGCAACAAGACAGTTACCACCAGCTAACAAGATCTTAACAAATTTCCATCTTCAGACTGACAGGACAGGACACAAAGACTCAATCAACATCTATACAAAGTCATGAAAGTTGTTCCATCTCCAATGTGTCCTTATGGAGAAGCAAGCAGGATACTGAACACCTCTTACAGTCATGCAAGATCCATCAGGCACTGAGAGATAAGATATGGCATTCAGAAACACCACTCAAAGAGAAGCTATATGGACCAGTGGATGCCCCACAGAAGACCACCAGATTTGTTGTGACTAGTAGTCATGTGTAAAGGCGAACGATAAAAAATTTGATCTTAAAATATAAACTCTGAAGACCTTTTAGTAACCCTGCTATGATTTTTTTATGTTTGATATGTTCCACTCTTGGCATTATAAAATGTCAACAATGAAGACCTTTAAGTGACCCTGTTGTGATTTTCTATGTGATGTATTCCACTCTCCATGTTATATGAGCTGTGTCGGATAGAAATCGACCTTACACAAATGAATATCAATACATCTGTTTACTTACTTCGGGTTGAAAAATCTCTATGCAAAGTCTTTAACTGTTTGAAAATTGAGTTGATTTAAGAACCCTATAAAACAGACCAAAATTCGTCTATTATGTATTTGAATGTTTTAAAATCAAAGAAAGTCTTATACATGCAAATGTATACAGCCACTTCCATAAGGTCGATTTCTATCCGGAACACCTCACATGTCACCAATGAATACCTTTTAGTGACCCAGTTGTTGTGATTTTCTCTGTGACATGTTCTACTCCTGGTGTTATAACATGTCATCACTGAAGAGCTTTTAGTGACCCAGTTGTGATATTCTCTGTAACATGTTCTACTCCTGGTGTTATAACATGTCATCACTGAAGAGCTTTAAGTGACCCTGTTGTGATTTTCTCTGTTACATGTTCTACTCCTGGTGTAATAACATGTCATCACTGAAAACCTTTTAGTGACCCTGTTGTGATTTTCTCTGTGACATGAACCACTCCTGTTGTTATAACATGTCATCACTGAAGAGCTTTAAGTGAACCTGTTATAATTTCCTTGTACATGTTCCACTCCTGGTGTTAAACATGTCAACACTAAAGACCTTTTAGTGACACAGCTGTGACTTTCTCTGTGACATGAACCACTTTTGATGTTATAACATGTCATCACTGAAAACCTTGTGATTTTCTCTGAGACATGAACCACTTTTGATGTTATATCATGTAATCTCTAAAGACCTTTTAGTGACACGGTTGTGATTTTTCCTTTTAGTGATCCAGTTGAGTTTTTTTTTTGAATAGAGGTTTTCATAACAAAAAGATTAAAAAGAATCAATTTTTATTGCATAATAAACTAAATTTAAAATACAAAATAGGAGAAAATCTGTTATAACTATGATTACAACCTGAAGGCACAGAATTTTGATTAAGGCAAATTATAATAATACAGTTAACCTCTTTATACTGAGTAAACTTTGAATTTCATTGATTCAATTCATTTTTTTTGTAGCCAATTTTTATTTGCCATTTTGTTGATACCAACAGCTATGATAGTAGAAGACAAATTGTTTACTATTAATTGTCCAGTTAAAAAGAGATTCACTGAATGAAAAGTGTTTGTTAGAACATAAATAATTGGAAAATTAATTTGTACAATAGTACAGAATATATAAATATAATAAATTTCATTAAATGATGCAATTTGTATTCAAAAACTGTTGTTCTATAGTACACACTAGAGTTTACAATAAATCAACATTTTCTTTTAGCATGTTTTTTTATTCAAGACAGAACTGTCAATTAACTCTATTAAAATAATACTTCATCACCATCAGCTGCTTGCTCTTTTTCTTTCCACAACACAAATGCTATGTGCATTAAAATATGAAGAATATTTAAAATGATAATAATTCCTTAAAGACAATAATAAATTGATTTATAAAATTTTGCACAATCAAGCCCTGCATATCTTTTAACATAATTATCTGAACCATGACAGTAAAAGTAACATCTGATTTTAAACCTGCATAATACATCACATGTTTTATGATTGATTACTAATGATTTTCACACATTCTTCATGATGATTTCTACAGCACCTCTCTCAATATTGCACATGTATGTGAATAGAGACTTAACAAAAATGTAAATGATTATCTAATACACAGCACAATATAAGTACAATCAAATTATAGCCAATTCAACAATAAAGGGCTATTGTTATCAATGCAGTGCAAGTTATGTTGCCTAATGAGGGGTTATAAAGAATAAATATTCTTGTACCAGTTTTTATGTAACACATATGAAGTAATGCAAAAGAAAAAGTAACATATTAACCTTCTGTTCTGAGGTCATCCATATAAGGCTTAAAATTCTCTCAAATTGTCTAAACCTTAATCGTATTTAAAAATACATTTCATGATAATAATTAATACCTCATATGTAATAAACTAATAATCTTTATTGTGCCAGAGTCGGAGATGGGTAGTTGTGGGTGTGGTGTTTTGACCAACATTCAACTTAACAGAAAAGAGAACTGAAATGGACTAAAACAAATTTGAAAGGTAAGTCAAAGCTTTTGAATTATATGATGTTATAATAAAACAGTTTTAGCTTTTTGATTGGGCCAATACATTTTTTCATTGACCCATGAAAGTAAATTAACTTTCAGACTGCGCCCTCAAGCCAGTATATACTTTCAGATAGTCATTTATTGACCCATCAAAATACTGTGATTGTATTCTATTTGTTTCCAGTTTTATGTTATTAAAAAATAAATTTATGTAAAATTCTATGTACAAATTAAAAAAAATATTTAAGGGGAAAATGAAACATGGCAAGATTAAATAGGGTATCCATCCCTTAGAAAAAACAAACTAAAAATGCCTGTATTTACAACCTATAATTAGACATATCACTGACATTTTTAATTAAAGACTGGTTCCAGTTGCTCATTTGTACGGGAATCCAGTTATCTGAAAAAACCTAGAGAAACAAATTGTCATTTCGAAAACTAAACTGATTGATGGTGATATTTTTTAAATCATTCTGATATTTTGATGGTCTTAAAACCTAAATATAATAGTAATATTGGTCCGAAATACCTTGGGAGACATCTTTACTATAAAAAAGGATTTGAGTTTGTAAGACAACAAAAAACATTTATTAGATGTATCATACACGTATTGAAAAAGGAAAGGTTAAAGTGATGGTATGGCCTTAAGAAGGTAATGGTAAACAACTTCTAAACTTTCTTATCTAAGGGACAACATCATAATATTGATGTCCGATAAAAAATTAATTCACATTGTTTGAGGGATAAAACTATCTCCCAGTTTTGTTATCCATCATCAATTTTTGGGTTGATTAAATACATATCAAAGTTCTGCCTTTCCTATGTTCAGACCTTACAATCAAATAAAAGCCATCAAATTGTAATGGAAAGACAATTTTTGAACCAAGAATATTGAGGAAAAATAAATCATAATATCTATAATATTAGAATGACGTGAAATCTTATACAGATCGACTTAAGCTTGTTTTCTACCCACCCATGTTTTTGTGCATGGGTACAAGGATTTTTATAATCTATTTAAATAATTTACAGTTTTATTTTTTATGCATCAGATTATTCATACTGCACATCACTTTTTCAATATTATTAAAGTGATGTCCTAAGTCAATTTACAGAAAAAAAACATACATTGTTGCAGAAATACAACATCCATTCAGATATGAAAACAATATGTTGACAAGGGAAGATTGAAAATGTGTTTATTACAAGCAAGTATTAACAAAGTTCATTGCTCCACACAGTAATTTGTTGTTGGGACAACTCCTTGTGTCTTAAAAATGTCAAGAGCTTTAGAATATGCGTAAAAAATGATTTTCTTCCAAAAAAATTGAAGAAGCACATCTACACTTGATGGAAATATATTTGCAATATATATTATTATTTGAGCTTAGGTTTCCTCATGTGACCAACTGTTCAATTTTAGAACAAACAGACCCAGGTCATAAGATAGCAAAACAGGGAGATAGAATTTCATCAAAAACTTAAATAGATAAAAAAAAAAGTGTTATTAAAAAAGTTTAATTTTAAAAGTTGGATATAGAACCCCTTTGAGTCCCTTATATGCTGGAAACAATAAAAACAACAGTATGTCTATTGACAATATAGCATTTTGAAATAAATTTTCTGAGATCAGATAGATACCATTATACAACCGCCATTGTTTGTGTTCATGCAGAAAACTACATTATGAAATTACTTTCAAGCAAAAGCCTTAAGTTTGATTAAAAATCTTGTCAGAAAAAGCATTCTCATTTTTATGTACAGGTATATATATATATATATATATACACAGAAGATTCCCTCTTTAAATAAAACTTGGTACTGTAACATAAGTTTGGTCCCAATAGATCTTTAAAACTGTACAACCTTGATCAATAAGTGAGATTCATTGCATTGGTAATCATATATAATCTATAATACAATGGTAAATCTGTCTAAAACAGAATTCATTCAACAAAAACTAAATGCTTTATATACAAAGACTATAAGAATAGGTTAAGCAACAAAAATGTAAAGTCAGAGTTGTTGCTCAGGGCTATTCCATTAAAACATACAAGGTACCCAGGGAATGCACTTTGAAAATGGGATAATCATCTATACAAGCAATTTTATAATATATTTCTGTCATTTTCACTTTACAAAATAGTCATTAACACCCATACATGGTTTAGATTTCAAAGTGCCTTCCCTGGGTCCCATGTATGATTTTATGGAACAACATTTATAACCGTCTACCCTGTGACGAGTTTAATACTAAATATAACTGATCCTTAAAAAGATAGCCATCTGTTCTATTATTATTATTATCTATCAAAATATTACAACACTAAGAGATGTGGGAAAGTCAGAACATAAGAAAGGAAAAATGGTAAATTAATTTTTCAACTGTACACAATTCTGTTTAACCAAATAAAAAAGAATTTAGCAAGAGGAATTTAACAACTAAATTGTTTTCCCTTATGGCAGTGATGTTTTATCTATTTCCCAAATGATATTTCTCTCATCACAGTGAAAAGAGTGTGATATGAATAAGTGATAAGAAATATTCATTTATTCTGTTAAATGTTACAAAATTGAAACATTTTCATTGGCTATTTGTAAGGTAAATGATGACTTTCAAAGGTTACATCTCCCCATTGTCAATGGAGATTAGTGATTTCTTCAATAATATACAAAACACTCGCATGTTTCTTCTGAAAGTATTTTTTTCTTCAAATTTAGTTCCATTATGAAACGTCCAAAATGCTTGGAAACTTCTGATGTTAACAATAGTCTCGTTCAAGAACAAAATATTCTCAATACCATAAGCAAACTAACATTTGAAGAGAAGCATGTGCAATCAAAAACCTTTCACCAGAACAAAGAGAATTTTTACCATAAGGGAAATAGGAACTCGTGAGAATTGGATATGGCTTGATATCAACCCTTGTTTTTTAACTTCAATAAATATATCAACTCCCCAAAGGGTCGTTTATTATTACATTGAAATTAAATGGCTTGAGTTGATATCAAGAGATATCCAATTCTCACTCGTTGTGAAACCTCTAACACATAGAAAGTTTGAGCAACTTCATAATAATACCAAACACCATATTAAAAAAACATTAAAAAAACTTCTATAAAAAATTATTAAACAATATGGCTGTAATATTATGATAAAACAAATTAAATATAAATATCATAAATAAATAAACAGAATACTGAATATTTTACCAAGGAATGACTACAGATAAAACAGAGGATATAAAATACATAAACATTTATGCATATAATACACTAAAACTTAATATTACTGGCAATTAGATGTTTGTCTATTAATCTTGAAATTTACCATCATTAAATGTACTGGAATCAGTTAGTACAAAACATTTAACAAACATTTTGTTTAGTACTGACTGCATTATAATAAAAACAAAAATATGATAAAGTTCAAGATTTGTTAAGTACCACTATCATGTTGTAATGCCCAATGACACATTTTCAGAGGTATGGCATAAACACTGTAAGTGTAATGTGACGGTACCTAAATTGCACCTATTTTGAAAGGTTTTTCACCATCATTTATCTACTATATAGGTCCACAAACTTGATTTGAATCCATACTGAATCATATACAATTGATTTGAACCAACCTCCAAATGATCCAAGATTATGTACCTAAATTGTACCCATGCTCAACTACACATCCATAAAAATCTAACAACCTAACAACTGATGTTTTGTTTTATTTCTACAAATTTTGTTAACAATTTGATAATAGTCCATGCCAATTATGCATTTTGTATGAAATGGATTTCTGCGACACATTTTAATCTCTCAATTTTAAAAGCTGACTTTTTGTAGACGTTGCATTTATTGTTTTCGTAAATTTTACTATTTTCACGAGAGACTTCATCTGTTGATATATAATATGACTGTTTTGAGCAGTTTTTAGAATATTTAACTTTGTTGAAACACATGCATAATAATAAATGATAAAAAGATGAATTGTTTAGCGTCTAAGAAATCCTATAAGATATCTGTCGCTTTTTATGCAAAATGGGTGCAAATTGGGTACTCTGTGCAAGTACTGTAACGTTTTCTATCAAATAATCAAAGAATCATTTGGGGTAGTTAGCTGACATTTACCTAGAAATACCTATTGCATTTGGCATTGAATTATTATCAACCTTCATTTATATATAATGATGAGAATGCAAGATAAGTAAATGTGGTTCCTCCAGATGTTGTAGTAGACTATTACAAAAACAAAATTACAATTTGAGTTTAAATGTTTTAAACATTCATCCTGTTGCATTTTTCACTTCAATAAAAACATTGTATTTACTTCTGGATTTACAATGCCCTTTTATTTTATATAATTCATGAAATTCTTTCTTGGATGGAAAATAAAGAAACATTCTATTCACAGAAAAAGGTTTTATAAAAATGTTTTACATTGTACATGATAAAAATATTGAAACAAATTAACATGTGGTTGCCTCCAGCCTAGAAAAATATAAACCAATTAGTATGGCACTTATTTTGAGGAAATTTCTCTTTATATACATTTCATTCAAACCGAATTACTATATCAATTAAAATTTATTCAAAGAGAGAACTTTATGTTAAAAACACAGAAAAATTTCACAACAAAAGGACACTTTTTATATTAAATATTATGCATGTTTATATCAAAATACAACATGAATTTTAGTGTTAGTTAAACAATTAAGGTGAAATTACTAAATAAAATTTCCTGTAAATTTTAAATAACACCCATGTGAAAACAATTCTTTTATAAATTATATAGTTAATTTTCATGTGGAAAAAATGTAAATTTCAGATTAATTTCATAAAAAAATTCTTTGTACCTTTTGAAATTAAACAATACAACTGATAAAAACAAAAAAGTACTAAAACTTATTTGTGGCAAAAAGATTTGCATTTCTATTGGGGTTTTGTTCAATACTAATAAAGGGATTGTACATACAACATAAATAATACAATCATAAAGACAATATTTATATACCTCCATGGTTTATTGTAAGTTTAAGATAAAAACATACATAAAAATTGATTATATATATATATATTTCATAAAATATAAAATATTATGATTTAAACCTGATTTGTCTGCATAATTAATTCTGTTTTGACCTCAACCATCTTAAATAGGTTAGCCTGAGAAAGGTTTACATGAAAAATATACAAACATAGATTGTGTAGTTATTTCATTTTTCCATTGGGGGATTTGGCCTTCAACAAACAGATCATATTTAATATACGTTTGCCAAAAGAGAAAAAGAACATTGTTGATTTATTTGACAAACGATTCAGGAATTGTCAGCTGGTATCAGGACATACCTATACCCTATTGAATGATAATCAAGTTTTAATAAATTAACTAGTGCTACTAAATTTTCTTTCCAAAAAAAGATACAAAAACAACAATTATAAACATGGTAAAAACATGAAGTATACAAAAACAATAACACTATATAAAATGAAAAAAGTACTAATAAGAAAAATATATAATTATATTTCTGAGACGTAACAAATAATTAGAAAATAACTAAATTCAAAGAACTGATTCTCTGGACGTGATTGCCTCAGTAGTTTGGTTGAGACTTGCTGACTCTCCTACCTCGATCTCCGGATCTTCATCCCTGGGAAATGATAGATCTCTACAACATGGACAACACCTACGACAAAACAATACCCACAGGTATACAATAACACATGTCCAACTTGATCCCATCTTTACCCATACTGCTGACCAATTTAGGCCAAACTTATTTATGTCAGATTCAGCAGGCCTGAAAAAACATTATGTAAAATGTACTATAGTTGAATGAAAGAATTTTTCACCCTCTTTTTAAGTCATATAAATTTATATTTATATACTGTGTAACATCAACACCGGTTATAGGTACCCCTGAGAGCGGTGGAAAAAACAAATGAAAAGTCAGGTAAGGTCAAATTCTTCTTATTTTCACTATATTCTACGTTGTGCTGACAAGTAAAGTTTTGTGATTCCTAATAATGTAGCTACTATTTAGGCCTGATTATGATCCTTAATTGGCTTTCTCTCTCTTCAAATCATCAGAATCTGACCGGGTGGTACCTGTTCACAGAAGCATGTGACAAGTTCAAACTTGTTAAAACACATTTATCCTTCAACTATTCATTTGACGTTTGCATATAACAAATTTATATCACATTCAAGATTGAACAACACTATTTTTCAACATAACTATTGTTTTCATGGAGAAATTCATGTAAACAAAGCGAAAAAATTGTACGGCGAATAGTTTTTTACTGTATGGAGCATAGAGTAGATACTTTTTGCTATCATTGTTTTGGGGTACCTATATCCAGTGGTGATGCTACAAAGTGATATATATATATATTTCATTTTTGAATTTACACATATTACCTATGTGAAAAAATTTCCTGATTAACAAAATGCAAACTTTTGATTAATTTACTGAATTGCTAGCTGTAACAAATTTCAATGCTTTTTAACAAGATATGTAGTGTCTTTGAACAATCAATCATTTATAATAATGATGATCAAATGATACAGTTATCATAAAGAGATGTTGTATATATTGCCAAAGAGAAAATTATCCACTAGAGTCCAAATGATGTCGATGTAAGCAAATATATATAGTAAAATTATACTGTAAATATTTACTGACCTGTACCAGTTTGTGAGCTGCATCATGACATAAAGGCTAGCTAAACAGAACACTAAGTGGAAGAATGCGTAGTTGTAGGATGTACCATTGTTTTCATTATAGCTAACAGGTTGGCCCCCTTTCTCAGTTGGGTTGTGTCCTTAAAAATAACAGCAGTCATAATCATAAAGAAATTAGATTAAGCTCTTAATTCACGTTTAACCAACAAAAGTAATGAATTATATAACTGTACATATGGCTATCTATGATAATTTATTCTCTTTTTTTGTTCAGTTTGTTTATTGAGAATGTTGTGCAGTTCTATTCCTATTATGTAATCCCTAGCCCAGTTATCTAACATATACCATGATGTGTCCCATTATTGTATTAATCTTTGTCTTATTTCTGAATTTTACAGTGATTGTCTGGTAATTTATGACATTATTTGTTAGATTTCTTTTGCAAATATAATGTATCATTAGTCAATATTACCCGGAACTCACTGATGAAGCATGATTGACATCAAGCAAAAAATTCTGCTCAAACCAGTGCTAGTGGCTGACTTAGAACTTGCAGTGAGTTGAGAGTTTTTGCTCTATGTTAAAGGCCTTAATGACTTTTAGATGAAGAACAGCAATAAAAGGACTGTTCCTTAGTATTTTGTTGTTTGATATGCATGTAGTGATTTTGCTTTTGCATTATATAAACAGACTTTTTGTCTTGTGCTGTGTGGAGGTTTAAAAAATTTTCCCTGTGCTACAAATTTTTGCTCTAAAATTTTTACAATTATGGCATTTTTTTTTACGATTATCTTTTGTATGTGCCCCTGGTTGTCTAAGTTTTGTATTGTTTCTGTATTTTACTGTGAGATAGTAAAGAGATTTATGACAGTATATTATCAAACTGGTAGTAGGGGCTGTCTTGAACTTACAATGAGGTGAGGGTTTTCACTCCATGTTGAAGGCTCACTGTGACTTTAAGACAAGGAACAGCAAGTCACTTGTTTTTGTAAAAGTTACTTTGACTTACTCGACACTAGCTACAAGTCACTTGTTTTTGTAAAAGTTACTTTGACAAACTCGACACTAGCTACAAGTCACTTGTTTTTGTAAAAGTTACTTTGACTAACTCGACACTAGCTACAAGTCACTTGTTTTTGTAAAAGTTACTTTGACTAACTCGACACTAGCTACAAGTCACTTGTTTTTGTAAAAGTTACTTTGACCAACTTGACACTAGCTACAAGTCACTTGTTTTTGTAAAAGTTACTTTGACTAACTCGACACTAGCTACAAGTCACTTGTTTTTGTAAAAGTTACTTTGACCAACTGGACCATTGCTACAAGCCTTTTATTTTTGTAGTGTACTTTGACTAACTTGACACTAACTACAATTCACTTGTTTTTGTAAAAGTTACTTTGACTAACTCGACACTAGCTAAATGTCACTTGTTTTTGTAAAAGTTACTCTGACCAACTGGACCATTGCTACAAGCCTTTTGTTTTTGCAAAAGCTACTTTACCTCACTACACAATGACTACAAGCGTTTTGATTTTATAAAAGTTACTTTGGAGCCTGTAATTCAGTTTTGTTGTTGGTTGCTATCTCATATTTGTTTTTCGTAAATTGCTTTGTCATAAATTATAAAGCCGCTGGTTTTCTTGACTGAATTGTTTCCCATAGTTGTAAGTCTGGGCTTTTTATAGCTGACTATAAGGTATGGGTCATATAATGACCTATAGTAGCTAACATTCATGTCTTTTGGACTTGGGTGGAAAGTTGTCTCATTGGCAATCAAACAACATTTCCTTATTTTTATATTGACTAACAAAACAACAACTGCAGACCACTCTTTCTTGTAAAAGTTACTTTGACTAACAAGAAAACAAATTCAGGCCTAATATTTTTTTACTAGCCTCTTTTTTGTTTAGTTGAGGATTATACAAGAAAATGACGTAAAACACAGGAAACCAAAACAACAACTCTATGAACTAAACCCAAAAGACTGGGAGCTCTTATACCACAGGTTCTCATGCAGTCTGATAACTCATTTCAGAAAGCTCTTATTTGTAGTTGCCTCGAAAAACATGATGCAAATTTTATATTGGTCATTATGTGTAAGAATAACAAAACAACAACTACAGGCCTCTTGTTTTTTTTAAGTTGATTTACTTACTTTGACTTACTGGACAACAACTACAGGCCTCTTGTTTTGTTAAGTTAACTTACTTACTTGACTGACAGTCAAACTGGACAACAATCACAGGCCTCTTGTTTTGTTAAGGTGATTAATTTACTTTGACTGACTAGACATCAACTACAGGCCTCTTGTTTTGTTAAGTTGATTTACTTACTTTGACTGACTGGACAACAACTACAGGCCTCTTGTTTTGTTTAGTTGATTAACTTACTTTGACTGACTGGACAACAACTACAGGCCTCTTGTTTTGTTAAGTTGATTAACTTACTTTGACTGACTGGACAACAACTACAATTTTCATGTCTTGGTTCCAGTATATTGTTTCTTGATCCCCTTCTGATCCCAAATTTGTGGGACTCTCTTGAAGATGTTAAACTGTAATTTAAACAACAAGATAAGACAAGAGTGCACACGCTGAAATGTCTCGCCTTCTTTACTAATCATTGATATTATGTTGATAGTCCTAAATATAAAGCTTTATTACAACTGTCACATAAACTTAACATTAACCAAGTAAACTAAACATTGACCAATGAACCATGAAAATGAGGTCAAGGTCAGATGAACCATGCTAGGCAGGCATGTACAGCTAACAATTCTTCCATACAACAAATATAGTTGACCTATTGCTTATAGTTTAAGAAAAACAGACGAAAACACAAAAACTTAACACTGAGCAATGAACCTTGAAAATGAGGTCAAGGTCAAATAAAACCTGCGTGACTGACATATAGATCATAAAATATTTCCATACACCAAATATAGTTGAACTATTGCATATAGTATTAGAAAAAAAGACCAAAACTCAAAAACTTAACTTTGACCACTGAACCATGAAAATGAGGTCAAGGTCAGATGACACCTGCCAGCTAGACATGTACACCTTACAATCATTCCATACACCAAATATAGTAGACCTATTGCATACAGTATAAGAAAAACAGACCAAAACACAAAAACTTAACTATAACCACTGAACCATGAAAATGAGGTCAAGGTCAGATGACACCTGCCAGTTGGACATGTACACCTTACAGTCCTTCCATACACCGAATATACTAGACCTATTGCTTATAGTATCTGAGATATGGACTTGACCACGAAAACTTAACCTTGTTCACTGATCCATGAAATGAGGTCGAGGTCAAGTGAAAATTGTCTGACGGGCATGAGGACCTTGCAAGGTACGCACATACCAAATATAGTTATCCTATTACTTATAATAAGAGAGAATTTAACATTACAAAAAATCTGAACTTTTTTTTCAAGTAGTCACTGAACCATGAAAATGAGGTCAAGGACATTGGACATGTGACTGACGGAAACTTCGTAACATGAGGCATCCATATACAAAGTATGAAGCATCCAGGTCTTCCATCTTCTAAAATATAAAGCTTTTAAGAAGTTAGCTAACGCCGCCGCCGCCGCCGCCGTAGCCGCCGCCGCCGCCGCCGCCGGATCGCTATCCCTATGTCGAGCTTTCTGCGACAAAAGTCGCAGGCTCGACAAAAAGTATCACATTTGTTATTGATACATATATACTTGAGGCTGAGCATGTTTTATGTTCAAAATGTTATAAAAAGTGTTTAGTTTGTGACTCTCTCTATCTCCATATAATGGGTCTGTTTAGTGTCCGTTTCCTATTGTGACATTTCATTGGCTATAAGAAATGGTGTAATTTAGACCCTGGAGTGGCTAACAAGATGAAAATTGATCTCTTGTATTGCCTGTTTTCTAGTTTATTTCTTATAACTTTAGCCCATTCATATTTTCAATGTACATATATTTCATGCTAAAAGATCTTCACTCTTTATCAACATGTCAAAGTTTGAATAACTTTCTCAACTGTGTTACAAGGCTTCCAAAACGGTCATATATTCCGGACATTTGTATAATGTCCGGTAAAAGTCCGGCTGGGAAAAGCATGAAACGGACATCTACTTTTTAGTTTTCAAGGCTTAAGAGACGGTCATTTTAACATAATTCGCGATTTTTTTGACCAAACCTTTTGCCTTTAACAGCCACACATTTCCGGTCATAAAAGTGACATGATCATTAAGTACTATCAAAATAACCCCTACTTTAATACCTTCTCATTTTAATCAAGGCTAATTAGTTGTCGAACAGCTGAAATTTACCTGTTCAGGTGACAGGTAAACTATTTTGAGCCAGACATTGATCGGTCTATTCAGTTATTTTCTTACATTTCAGCGGTTTGCATCTAATCAATTTAGTTAAAAAGATTTAAATTATCAGAAATACGTTTACAAATATGATTTGATGAAAAATTAAAAAGGTGAAAATGAAAAATCGTCATAACCGACACGTTGTTTGAACCAGAGACATGGCTCTGTTTGAACTGATACACATGTGCGCAGGTGTGAAATTTAATTATGCATCCTAATTTCTTAAAAAAATGCTTAAATTGTCATTGATACCTTTATCTCACGTTTATTTCGAATATTTTCGTAAGAGCTACTTACACTCATTCATGCTTTGCAAACGTACACGGAATTTACGTATCTGTCTCTGGTCCATGTTTTACCATTGTCAAGATAGCATCCAGTTTAGATTTAAAAACCAAAGTAAAGTTTTTGACAACGTTATTTTGCACAAATAAAGAGTCTAAGCAGATATAAGTACGCTGATGTTGCACACTTCGAATGATGCACTGCCAATTTAACAGTTTACGTCAGAACTTCGAATTTGAATCAAAGAAAGTTTGTCTTAAGGGATTAAAATCGGGATAATATATAAAATGTCCGGCTGGCAAAAAATAATTTTGGAAGCCCTGCTGTGTTAAGAAGAGATAAAACAACAGATAATAAAGGTTATACTATGATGTAAGACAGGAGACAAGAAGAATGCTATGAACTGAACCCAAAAGACAAGGAATTTTATAAGCACAGTAGCTGTTGTTAAATCAGATAGTTTGTCAGCACATTCCAGTCAAAACATTTACATTCAGCAAAATTTAAGTTTCAAATTAAATGCAATATATTCATTTAAAATTTTGATATAACACATAATTTTGAAAATAAGTCTTGATAAAAGGCATAAACATTGGATTAATAAGGGGTTTATGGATACATCAGACTGATATATAAAATGATGTGTAATATTAAATCTACATAGTGAATAACAACAAATTAGTAGTTTTAATGAATCATTGAACAACATTGTTTTAACAATTACCTTGCATACACCGCCATGATAAATGTAATCACTAGTCCAGCATAGGCTGATACCATTTCACTATAGGCAAATGATGGTTTAGGCCGACACATTATCTTTGTAGTATTAGTCATAACATGAAAACTGTCTTGTGGTCCAGAAGCATGGTCCATCTTCCTGAGAAGTTCGTTATCCGAAGGTGCAGAACCAGTGTTTGATGGATCTATTTGTCGCATAGATTCTAATACTCTAGTCCTGACTGTTTCTAATATCATGGTAACTATAATAGATCGATTGATTACATTATATTGATTGGTTGACTCTGGTGTTTAATGCCACTTTCAGTACAATTAGCTACATCACGGCAGCCAGTTTTTATATGTAGAGGGAGCCGAAGTACCGAGAGAGAACACAGATCTTTGACAGGAAAACTAGCAATCCTAAAGTAGTCAAACAAGATTGAAGTCAAACTCACACTACTGTTAAATATACAGTGTAATTACCTGAGACAGATGTATATTGTCATTACCTAAATTAAAACTGATATCAATAACATTTAACAATGTACACATCACTATGTTTATGTATAACAGCTGTTTGATTCTGCCAGTGTACTTGATCCGAAGGATGAAAATTCCTAGTGTTTTATATCCACCAACAAAAATGCACTAGGTTTTTTAATTCGGGGCTAGTGTAAAATATCCAATACTCGTCATAAGATTCTGAAAAGGGTTTTCTTGAAGGGGAAAAATATATAAAAAATGGGACTTGGTATTTGTTAGGGGTATTTGATGTAACTTAAACTTGCAAAGGTGATTTATGTAAAAAATGGACCCAAAAAACTAGTGTTTTTTAACCAAGGAATGTTTGATTCAGCCAGTGTACTTTATCTAAAGGATAAAAATTCCTAGTGTTTTATATCCACTAACAAAATTGCTGGATTGATTCAGATGAATTAAACTGGTTCCTTGAAAATGATTCACATTTTAACCCATCAATTTATGTAACCAATATACCAGTCTACCATAAACATAAACAACAGTTTTCACACTATTTACATTCAATAGTCTCTTGTAAATTATCAGGAATAAACACACAGTGGAATGAAAAAGCGCTTACATATGCAGATTAAACTAGAATCTCTAGGAAATTGCTCATCAGGTAGAAATATGCAATCAACATAAAAATCCTGACAAAAAAAAATGCTTCTCATTTTTGCTGTTTAAAGTTTCCATTGAACTATTATAGTTTTTAAAGATAATAGGCCAGGGAGTCCATGATATTGACTATGCATTATAAGTTACAAGGGAATCCATGATATTGACTATGCATTATAAAGTTACCAGGGAGTCCAATATATTGACTATTCATTATTAAGTTTCCAGAGAGTCCATGATATTGACTATGCATTAATAAGTTACAAAGGTCTATGATATTGACTTTGCATTTTAAGTTACAAAGGTCTATGGTATTGACTATGCATTTTAAGTTACAAGGGTGTCCATTATATTGACTATGCATTTTAAGGTTCAAGGGAGTCCATTATATTGACTATTCATTATTAAGATTCCAGGGAGTCCTTGATATTGACTTTGTATTAATAAGTTAAAAGGGAGTCCATGATATTGACTATGCATTATAAGTTACCAGGGAGTCCATTATATTGACTATTCATTATTAAGTTACAAGGGTCTATAATATTGACTATGCATTATTAAGTTACAAGGGAGTCCATGATATTGACTATTCATTATTAAATTACAAGGGAGTCCATGATATTGACTATGCATTATAAGTTACCAGGGAGTCCATTATATTGACTATGCATTATTAAGTTACAAGGGAGTCCATGATATTGACTATGCATTATTAAGTTACAAGGGAGTCCATGATATTGACTATTCATTATTAAGTTACAAGGGTCTATGATATTGACTATGCATTATTAAGTTACAAGGGAGTCCATGATATTGATTATGAATTATTAAGTTACAAGGGAGTCCATGATAATTGATATTGACTATGCATTATTTAAAAGTTACAAGGGAGTCCATGATGTTGAGCAACCTCTAGTGCTTGTACCACACTCTAACAATTAAAATGAAATTGTTTCTCTGACCTTGCTTTGTACTAGACCAGCACTCTTAGCCAGATTTTTAACTTGATAGTCCAAGAGGTAAAAATTCGCAGGAAGACATGTCATCCTATCGGGACACATTATTCGTACTCTGAGCTGACCAGTCTTTGCTCTTACTCCTCAATGTCACATAATTAACAGAGAAGCAGCAAATAACAATTTAAAAGTCTTTGGTGTGACCTGTCCAGGGTTTGAACTCATAACCTCTAGCACTTGAGGTAAACATGCTACCACGAGACCACCGAAGAGGTTCAAGATATTAGACAGCTTCTTTTTACATTTTTATCTTTTTTTTGCATTTTAGCGTTGGTGGCCATGTTGAATGGCAGGCAGAATCATAGGACATTTACATACCACAAGGATGATTGTGGCCAAGTTGAGTGTCAACTGGCCAAGTAAGTTTCAGAGAAGATTTTTGTGGCATTCTTATGATCTCTTATTGGTTGAGTGACCTAAAATAATTCACAAACTATAATCTAGACACCCTCAAGATCAACCATGTATTAAAAGTTTGGTTTGAATGGGTTCAGCAGTTTCAGAGGAGATTGTTTTTAAAAATATTACACCAAATGACAAATGACAAAACTTCATCACTGCTCTGAGGTCTACATGAGCTGACAAAGAAAATGGATCTGGCTTTATAGTTACCGGTATACTCACTTGGCATGATTATCATCATGTGTGAAAAATTTATCCTTTAGCTGCTATTGAACATTTCTTGCATATTTTTGGCTCCCACTTAATAAAGTGGCTGTAAAAAGTTACACAATAATGTATATACATGGAGCCTGGTTTCTGTATTAATATGTACTTACTCTCTTCAGGAGGTTCACTAGACAGTGCTGACCAGGTCAAATACATCACATATGTACTTATGACAGATGCTTGTAGAAGACTGTTGTTTTTATTGTCTACAAATAAAATAATGCAGTTCTATTTCAGAAAATTTACCTGAAAATATCCTGAACAATACATCACTTTCTAAAACATTCTACAATATCAATTTACAATTTTCGGATAATATATCTCTAATTATTCTTTTTTGTTGCTTAATTTTTTTTTACAACTGCACAATTCTGCCCTAATCTTATCGTGGTATTGACACTAATACCAATAAAATGTTCATAGAATACTCTTTAGCACAAACAGATGGTTGATATTGATTTTGGGGAGGTTGTCCCAACCCGTTCTTGTTTTGCTTTCCTCAAATCTAAGGGGATTCTTTAAGGATGTTCGCTGCTTTGTTTCAAAATAACACGGTTCCCAAAAGACTGTTATAAATTGATAGTATATAAATAACAGAACTAAAAAAGCAGAATAAAATGAATGGTTTCATGTCCTTATTTTTGTGATATAAGCCATTGACAATTTGGCGGGATATGATTCTCTCTAAATTTTTCATACATTTAACATAGGCACTTTTTTCCTCTCAAAAACTATGAAAAATAACAAGGATTTAATAAGATTTTCAAAAATGGTTTTTAAACTATATGTAGTAAAATTATGAAAAGAAAAGGAGATTTTAGTGGGCAGAATTTTTATTGGCACTACATAGATAAAACTAGAGGATTCCAAATATCTGACAAAAAGCTCTTGTCTGTTTTAATGTTTTTCTTTGAATTCCTTATGAAAAATCTTGGAAGAGATATATCAAGAAAATTTCTGGAAGCTCATATCTGTTTCCACATTATAGTTTCCACATCATAAGGGATGAAAGGGGGGAAATGGCTTTATTCAAAGGTGCATCAACTCTCTTTCAATTTGTCATCAAATTTTGACAAGAGCTTACAGATATATAATATGGCAATAAATTATGCATAAAATATTACACTTCTACAGGAGAATGAATGTGTCTTGCATAACGCTGTATCCATATTTTCTTGTAATGTTTACATGTACAAACAACCCTGTTTTAATATGATGACATGTTATGGTATCACACTGTGTTAAACATAGAGTTTTCAACTAGAAACAGGTCAGATGTTAGAAATAGTAAAAAAATAAAAATAAAAAATAAAAAAAGAAGTTTGTATCCAAAAAGTGATTTTTTTAACACAAATGTGATTTCAGCCCCCCCCCCCCCCCCCCCCCCAAAAAAAAATAATGTGCTCTAATACTGACAGGAATTGTTGATGGAGGGAAATGAATTTAAACATTTATATTGTCTTACATTTGGTTGCCACTGGTAACATAGTAACAAAAGATAACAGAATACAGAGTCCAACATTCACTCCAATAAATACTTTATTGTGAGTACATCCATTCATACTGGTGTAGTTAAAAAACAGCATGATAGTTCCAAAGACACAGAAAGCATACAACATGCCAGCACAGATCATAGTACCTGTAATTGAATGAATTAGACATAGTAGAGATAGCATACAACATGCCAGCACTGATAATAGTACCTGTAATTGAATGAATTAGACATAGTAGAGATAGCATACAACATACCAGCACAGATCATTGTACCTGTAATTGAATTAATTAAACATAGTAGAGATAGCATACAACATACCAGCACAGATCATTGTACCTGTAATTGAATTAATTAAACATAGTAGAGATAGCATACAACATACAAATAGAAATTTTCATTCAAATGATTTCTAGTCAGGTAAATTTTGTTAAACAGCAAGAAAAGAAAGTATTAAAAAGTATTGACAGAATTAACTATGGGGAAATATTTTAGTGGATTGTCTCCCTTTTATCTACTGAAGTTGATCTTGAATCTGGTAAAGGGCAGGCACAACAAATGCCATCAAGTTATGAAAAGGTATTAGCATGGTAAATGAAAATATATATGATCTTAACTGTTTTGTTGATATGTTGAAAAAATACTTCTTGTGTCATGTAACTATGACCTTGACATAATCTCCTTAGAATCCATAGGGATCTTTCACTCATTATATATGATAATATATCTAAGTTCGGTTTAAATAGTAAAGACTATAGAGTTATAATCCAGAGACTAATTTCCTGCACTAATTTTGGTCCGTTAAAGTAACTATTACATTCATTATCCCAAAACCAAGATGACCAATCAACAGACTAATGGATGGACTGGTTAACAGCTCCGACTCAACAGCTAAATACTCAAGCTTCTTTGTAATGTGGGGAATAATTAATAAAATATGATACAGAAATATTCATAAATATTTAAGCAAGTGTTATATAATTATAATTACAAATTCTTGGAAGTATTAATTGACTTACCACAATAACCAACACAACTTTTTTCATTTTTCTTTAGACCAGTCCTTCAAAGTAAAAATCATTTGTCAGTGTGATAGGTATTAAACTTGTTTATTGAAGTCTGTTTCAATTCTTCATATATAATTTTGTTGGATATTGTTTACACTTTATATAATGATGTTAAAGAGCAACCATTTAACTCCAAGGGGGAGGGGATTATGGGTTTTTTTCTGAGTCAGAAATTTTTTTTTGCGCAAAGCACGAACATTTTTTTTAGTTGTTCGACACTATCAATCAAATCATTTTTTTTTTTTAAATTAACACTTTAAGGTATGGGGAAAATCTGGATCCAGAATATTTTTTTTGTGTCATCTAGTTGACCACAACATTTTTTTTCATCAAATTGGGGATCAGAATATTTTTTTTAAGGAAAAAACCAAAACCCTCCCCCCCTTGAAGTTAAATGGTTGTTCCCTTAAAGGATCCTGAATTTTGGTTGGTATAGCTAGTGTATTTTTATCAGATGAATTTTGATATTTCGTCACTGCTGGTGTATATATACAAAGATATTATACAATTACTGTCTTTTGATGAGATAAATTTGATTCCATGAGCCCAACGACTGAAGTGAATATCGGTTTTTGAAAAGCCAATTAATTCACATATTTACAGAAACAAAAGACTGTAAATGTTTTATTCCAAATTCCGAGGGAAATCAATCTATTTAATGACAATTATTTCCCACAAGAGTGCACATGCTGAAATGTCTTGCCTGCTTTACTTATCATTGAATTCTTGTTGAAAGTCTGTAATTATGAAGGTTTTACTACAAGTATCACATAAACTAAACATTATCAATGTTCTATGAAAATGAGGTCATGGTCAGATGAACCATGCCAGACAGACATGTACTCCTTACAATCATTCCATACACCAAATATAGTGGTCCTATTGCTAATACCGGTAGTACCCGAGAAACAGATCAAACCACAAAATCTTAACAATGACCAATGAATCATGAAAATGAGGTCACCATCAGATGAACCATGCCAGATAGACATGTACACCTTACAATCATTCCATACACCAAAAGTAGTTGACCTATTGCTTATAGTATCTGATAAACTGACAAAATTACAATCAAAGCACGAAAGCGCTGTAAAGGCAGTTAATTACAGGTTGTGTGTATTTTAAGTCCAGTTATATCATTATCTTGCATAGTACAGTGTACATATCAGAGGTGGCTTTCAGTATTTAAGATTTAGAGTTCTCTAATGATATTGAATAAGTTTTATGAATGTCATATTCTGAGCACTATATGAAGGCGATTGTTCTCACTTGTTTATGAACTAGTGCATTTTGTCCAGTTTGTACCTTTTTTATCTATGTTTATAGTCAAATTAGTTATCAAAGGTACCAGGATTATAATTTAATACGCCAGACGTGTGTTTCGTCTACATAAGACTCATCAGTGACGTTCAGATCAAAATAGTAACAAAGCCAAACAAGTACAAAGTTGAAGAGCATTGAGGACCCAAAATTCCAAAAAGTTGTGCCAAATACGGCTAAGGAAGTCTATTCCTTGGATAAGAAAATCCTTAGTTTTTTCATTGGCAATCATAACACATCTCCTTATTTATATAATGATCTATATTCAACGACCTCAGGTACAAAAAAAATGTATATAACTAAACTATGATGGGAAACCTTTGACTTCTTTCTTTATATAAACTTTTGATTTGGTACCATAGAACTATGTAGAGTAAATGTACATTGCAACATGTCAACTCTTTCAACTCCAAGCAAAATTATATTTCCAAGCATAAAGTAATTTATGAATGAAATAAAATGCTCCGCTGCGGCGCAGCTTGATACGACCGCAGAGGTCGAACCCTGAACAGTTGGGGCAAGTATGAACACAACATTCAAGCTTGATTCAGCACTGAATTTGGATTGTAATTAAATATTTGACACAGCATAGGTTTCTGACACAGAATGAAAGTGGTCTAAGATACTTAAAAAAATTTAATTTACCTATTCAAACCATATCATTATTATTTGCTTTTATATATAAATCAGAAATAACCAATTTAAAATGGAAAATTTTAAAGAAAAAAAAGGAAAAAGAATCCCCCCTAAATTTTTTGAACCCCCTTATGATTCATCACCCCAAAACTCAATCCCAGCCTTCCCTTTGTGGTATGGTACCTTGCAGTACAATTTCAGAGAGATCCATACACTTGAACACATGTTATTGTCTGGAAACTAGAAAAATGCTTGTTTTTTGGCCCCTTTTTGGTCCCAAATTCCTAAACGTTTAGGGCAATTACCCCCAAACTCAAACCCAACTTTCCCTTTGTGATATGGAACCTTGTAGTACAAAACGTTTAGGGCAATTACCCCCAAACTCAAACCCAGCTTTCCCTTTGTGATATGGAACCTTGTAGTACAATTTCATTAAGATCCATACACTTACACACAAGTTATTGCCATGAAACTAGAAAAATGCTTCTTTTTGCCCCTTTTTGGCCCCTAATTCCTAAAATTTGGAGGCAATTACCCCCAAAATCAATCCCAGCTTTCCCTTTGTGATATGGAACCATGTGATACAATGTCAGAGAGATCCATTGACTTACACACAAGTTATTGTCATGAAACTAGAAAAATGCTTGTTTTTTGCCCCCTAATTCCTAAAATTTGGAGGCAATTACCCCCAAAATCAATCTCAGCATTCCCTTTGTGGTATGGTACCTTGCAGTAGAATTTCAGAGAGATCCATACACTTGAACACAAGTTATTGTCTGGAAACTAGAAAAATGCTTATTTTTGGCCCCTTATTCCTCAACTTTTTGGGCAATTACCCCCAAACTCAATTCCAGCTTTCCCTTTGTGATATGGAACCTTGTAGTACAATTTCATAAAGATCCATACACTTACACACAAGTTATTGCCATGAAACTAGAAAAATGCTTGTTTTTTGCCCCTTTTTGGCCCCTAATTCCTAAAATTTGGAGGCAATTACCCCCAAATTCAATCCCAGCATTCCCTTTGTGATATGGAACCTTGTGATACAATGTCAGAGAGATCCATAGACTTGCACACAAGTTATTGTCATGAAACTAGAAAAATGCTTGTTTTTTGCCCCTTTTTGGCCCCTAATTCCTAAAATTTGGAGGCAATTACCCCCAAAAATCAATCCCAGCATTCCCTTTGTGATATTGAACCTTGTGAGATCCATACACTTACACACAAGTTATGTCTGGAAGTTACAAAATACCTATTTTTGGCCCCTAATTCCTTAACTGTTGGTACCATAACCCCCAAAATCAATCCCCACTTTCCTTTTGTGGTATTGAACCTTATTTTAAAATTTCATTGAGATCCATTCACTTAAACTAAAGTTAGAGTGCGAAAACTAATGTGTCTTCGGATGACGACGCCGGACGACGCCAACGTCATACCAATATACGACCACAAAATTTTTTTGCGGTCGTATAAAAAGGAGTTCTTAATTAAGAAATAAACTGATTCGCTGAGCGCAGCTGGATACACCCGCAGAGGTACTACCCTGAACAGCTGGGGCAAAAATGGACACAATATTCAAGCTTGATACAGGTCTGAATTTGGATTGTAATTGAATATTTGACATATTATAGTTTCTGAATAAATGTAGTCAATGAACTTGAAATCGGTTATATGAATTGAATTTATATTCAATTAAAGATTTCTTGCTGTTGTGCAATACTTAATAAATCTGTTGCCAGACTATAAACAAATAAAGTTCAATTTCTTCTCAATGTCATATTTGAAATTTATGAAAATCAATAGGGAGATTACATCAATAGCTATAAATAATTCACCAAAGTTTCATGTGAACTGCTTAAAGCATTTTTGAGTTGTTGTCCAAAAACTGGAAAATCCCCCCTTTTTTAATGAATAAAACCCCATAACTCAGAAATGTAAAATCTAAAATTCATAAAATTCTAAAGGGAGCTTACAGATTGATAATTTAGTCTTAGATGCAAGATATTTTTATCAGTTGTTAGTGGCTTTGAACTACCGGTAGCTTTCAGTAACTGCGAGTACTCTCAGATTTGTACTTAGTGTCTTTTTGTTGTTTGGATGTACAACTACCCGACCACGTCCACTTGTATTTGTATTTATCCATCTGATAAGTTTAGCCTCTTTCAACTGATTTTTATAGTTCTTTCTTATATTGTACTGTTACACCACTGTCCCAGGTTAGGGGGAGGGTTGGGATCCCGCTAACATGTTTAAGCCCGCCACATTCTGTATGTACATGTATGTGCCTGTCCCAAGTCAGGAGCCTATAAAAGTGTAATTCAGTGGTTGTCGTTTGTTTATGTGTTGCATATTTGTTATATTTGTTCATTTTTTTACATAAAATAGGCCGTTAGTTTTCTTGTTTGAATTGTTTTACATTGTCATTTCTGGGCCTTTTATAGCTGACTGTGCGGTATGGGCTTTGCTCATTGTTGAAGGCCGTACTGTGACCTATAGCTGTTAATTTCTGTGTCATTTGGTCTCTTGTGCATGTGTGGAGAGTTGTCTCATTGGCAATCATACCACATCTTCTTTTTTATATTTACATCAACAGATATAAAAAATTCACCAAAGTCAAGGTGAGACAACAAAACTTAGTTGTAAGATCTCTGAAATTTTTTACAGGGTACGAGTTTTTCTCATTGTTGGAGATTGTATGGTGACAGTAACACCTGTAACTGCTTAAACCCATTTCTTATGCACTTTAGTTTGATAAACTCACTGAATATCATACCACATCTCCTTATTTTTATATGCATTACAATTTACATGTGCATGTAATTGTAAATATATACATGTATATATCAGAACAAAATTCATTGCGTCACTTTTATTTATGCATCCTTTGGCACAATACAAGTTCTAAAATTACACAACATAAAACAACTAAATGTTATTTCAGATGAAAGTTTTGTTTCAGTTCCATTCATAGGATTTATTAGAATTTTGTATGTTTTGCCAAGTCCAATAATTCGCTCTATGTGACATAGAGACATAGTTGACTAAACCACCAGGTGTCGAACATTCAAGAATTTTCAGTGTTTCTGTTTTTATTTGATGAAAAGGTTGCCTGAGCTCTAGTAGCTTTAGGTTTTATCACGGGATATTCTGTGCTGTCAATAATAATCCAAGTCGTAGGAAACTTTAATTTGAAGTTGGATGGTGAAAAATACCTGACTAAACCACTAGATGGCCAAGTGTTAGCCTCACACCACTGTTTAGACATAAAAACAATCCATGTATACACAATATTCTTAACACTAGATTCAATCTAGAATCTAGACAGTTCAAAGTTGGTTGTATGATGCCTCAATTTCATCAAAGTCATAAAAAAACTGATTTTCAACTGACACCCTATCAATTTGAAAATATATGTATCTCAAACAATGTGCTGCTGGACCAAGTGTGGTCAAAACAAATAAAAATTTAGTATACAACTCTAAACCGGTATAAAAATGCATGGCTGTGTCACGTGTCTTCATTTCAAAATTCTCTGCTGAAAACATAGGCATTGATGGTGTTTGTGTAATTCCATCTGTGAAGCTCAACATTAGCTCGGCAGTTGGTGGTGGACAGTCATAAATCCTTTCTGCAGTATGAATGACTTCTTCAGGAAAACCAACTTTACAATCAAAACTTTCCTCTAGATTTCTACTACAATATTCATCAAGTTTAGTTCTTTTGTTTTCACAGGAAACTGCCCTGATTTTTCTTTTTGCGGACGATTCAGTCTCTTGCTTGGTCCAGGAAAATAGGCTGGGAATTGCAGTAGACTTAAGTCTCTGTATGGTGGGTTTGCGCCCTGAAAAAGGTTATAAAACATTAGATTTTTTATAATTAAATGAACTTCCATTAGCAATGTATACTTTGTACTACCTGGCGAAATATTAACTAGATTTATTCATTACAATCTGGATAAAACTATGTTTGCCTGATTCAATGTATGTTATGTAAATCCAAAGGACAAACAATGAGAGACTTATGCAACAAACGTACATTGTTTCTACCTAAATAACTATAATATAGATGAGAGCATGTCATTGTTTTGTTCCTGTTAACATTGTCATTGATATTTTTCAAGAAAGTCTATGAGGCATAGCTTATGCATTCCTGTCATTACTACATTAGCATAATTACTGCTAAAATAATTCTCAGTATGATATACCTCTTGTAAGAAATCATTATAATTGTAGCAATCACCAAAAAATCTCAAACAGATCACATTGAATCGTAATCCAAAAAATTATGACGTCTTGAATTACCCACCCCCTTTTATTCTAAAACGATAATTGCGGTTGTAAACAGACTTTGGTTTATTCGCATGGAGATTACATATATAACTATATATTTCACAAAGAAAATAGAGTTTTACCATGAATAGTTTCCTGCACGTAGTCTTTTTCAGTAAAACGTGCCTTGCAAACAACAGCTGATTGAGATGGACTCCACGATATCATCGTGTTCTCGTCCAATCTGCGTATGGGCCATGGCGTTGGTCCATTTTTTCCTTCTTTTTAAGTCATTTGGAAATGCATGTCCTCCTCTTAAATGACATCCAGGTACACAACAACAAGTACTTGGCATCGTTAATTAAAAATATAACTGAAATAGTTGCACAGTGCAGAAACCGGAAGAAGAGGAACAGGATCCGCTACCACGGCGCCACCTATTCAGGAACGATAATTTGCTACTTTATATAACTGCGAAAATAACGTTAGACGGGTTCACGTGCATAAACAGAAATGCGCTTTAAATTGTATAATATAATTCATGTTCAGTCGACCTTTAATTATTATATCAACGACTGAAATGATTTATAAACATCTAGATTGCAGATAACACTCGAAATTAACCCGAGCTCTTTCCACACGGAATTCAAATAATTCTAGTTTGTCAATCGGTTGACTGCTTATAATGCAAAATACTAATATATCAAAAGTTTTTAAAACTAACAAAACACAATGATCGTTTCTCTATTTCCCAATGTAAATGAAATGAAACAAAAAACATTTTATATCGCAATAAGAAGAGGAGAGAATTCAACATTTCCGGATCTACTTGGAGTCTAATGACCCCCCACGTAGATAAGTTGGATATCGCGGAAGGAAGGATTAACCCGGCAACAAGAAAGGCATTAAAGCACTGCCTTTAAAAACTTATCATTGACCAATGAACCATGAAAATGAGGTCAAGGTCATATGAGCCCTGCCAGACAGACATGTACACCTCACAATTGTTTCAATACACTAAACATAATTGACCTATTGCTTAAAATAACTGAGAAACTTTATGGACCAAACCACAAAATCTAAAAATTGTCCAATGAACCATGAAAATGAGGTGGAGGTCAGCTGAAACCTACCAGACAAACACGTACATCTGACAATCATTCCATACACCAAATATAGTGTCCCTATTGCTTACAGTATCTGAGAATTAGACCAAAGCACAATAAACTGTTATCACAGAGATATATTGCGCCTTTTTGTAATTTTGATAATGCAAATGTTGAAATTAAAATAGCAATACTTTAACATGTAAGTTATGGAAATATTCAAAGTCGATGAACCATGACTGAAGGTACATGGCTAAACAATCTCCATGGAAATGAATTGTGCCAATGCTAATACAACTGCATACCAAATACCATTGACTTATTATAAGTCGTTCCCTTTACACAAACCTAAACACAAACATTAACTTGTAAACTATGTAAAAGTTTCAAAGTCAATGAACCATGATGAAGGGGTGGCTCTATATAATCTCCATGGAAACGATACTTGCAAATGCCAATAAATTTGCTTACCAATTGCAAATATCATTGACTTAACATTAGCAGTTCATCTTAAAACTGATCTAATCACAAACTAATACATGTAAACTAAGCAAAAGTTTCAAAGTCAATAGACCATGACTGAGAAAATTTTCTCCATGGAAATGAGATGTGCTAATGTTTATACAACTGAATACCAATTAACATTGGCCTACCACTAATGATTCCCCTTGAACTGACCTAATCACAAACTAATACATGTAAACTATGCAAAATTTTCAAAGTCAATAGACCATGACTAAAAGGGGGAGCCAAATAATCTCCATGGAAATGAGATATGCCAATGCTTATACAACTGCATACCAAATATCATTGACCTACCACTAGTGGTTCCCCATAAACTGACCCAATCACAAACTAATACATGTAAACTAAGCAAAAATTTCAAAGTCAATAGACCATGACTGAGGGGACAGGGCCAAATAATCTCCATGGAAATGAGATGTGCCAATGCTAATACAACTGCATACCAAATATCATTGACCTACCACTTGTGGTTCACCATAAACTAGACCTAATCACAAACTAATACTGGTACATTGTTGATGCCGCCGCCAGAAACAGCATACCTATGTCTCGCTTTTTGACTCTGTCAAGGCGAGACAAAAACTAAACATTGTCCAATGAACCATGAAATTGAGGTCAAGGTCTGATAAAACCTGTCAGTTGGACATGCACACCTTACAATCATTCCATACACCAAATATAGTGTATATGGAATAAGGTTGAGGTAAGGTGAAACCTACCTGATGGACATGTAGACATTGCAAGGAACCCATATACCAAATAAAGCTATCATATTACTCATAATAAGTGAGTATTTCACTTAACAAATAAAACTTTATTTTTTTTTCAAGCAGCCATTGAACCATGAAAATGACATCCCGGACAATGGACATATGACAGACGGAAACGAATCGTAACATAAGGTATCTGCACACAAGGTAGGAAGCATCCAGGTATTCATCCTTCTGAAATATAAAACTTCAAACAAATAGTTTATGCTGGATTGTAATACCTTTGTCTCGCAAAAGAATTTATGGTTTATTGAAAAAAAGAGATAATATTGAGTCAAAATTCCAATTATTTTTCCAAAACTTCCCCCATCGCACATGCATATTAAAGCTAGAATAACTTTCTCTTACCCTGGACTCGCCTTCAAAATTTTTAAGTAGAACCCTGTAATACTTGTGAAATTTACATTGTGCCATTCCATAAATATGCAATTACAAAACTTACCATGCAGCATTCCAGGAGTGTGAAAAGTCAACCAGGAGAATGAGCTGTAGTAAAATAAAGATGAAACCTCCAACCATACCAAAATACATCCAGTCTGTTGAAAACATCAATGTAAATCACTAATTAAATAGGTAAACAACATACTGGTACATGTATTTACTCAAACTTTGTCAAAAAGTATCAACAATTCATGTGAGCCACATTTTATTCAGAACCCTGTGTTTACTTTTATAACATTTTGTCTGGATAGGCAACGGGGAGGTTTTAATCATGTAAAACTTTATTAATCCAACCACAGTGTGTGCCTGTATATAGACAGACTTTCTTGACCATGTCTTTGTTTGTAAGGCCAACCTTAAAATATTTTTTGTTTGATATTGCCTACCCATGCCTTATAGGGTTGAATAGGTAGGTAGGGATTTTTTTTTTTTGGGGGGGGGGGGGGGGGGGGAGGGCAGGAGGGCAACAACATGAGTTACATGTTTTAGACAAGAAAATGATGATAGAGCAGGAAAAAATCTTTTAAAAAAATGGAAATGATTTGTGTCGTAAAATTTGTCATTTGTCTTTTTATGTGGGTAGGTAGTGAACATCAAACAATTAAAATGTTATTTTTGGCCTAAGTTTACTTTTTAAGGAATAGGATGATAGTAATTGGTTGGGTCTGTTTTACATGTACTTTGTCCAGAATTTTTGGTACTTCCTGTTATCCTATTTTTATGTATTACTTAAATTCTATCTTTATTTTATAAACATAACATACTATCAATGACTAGATGTACACAACAGCCCGTGTGGATTTTGCTTTTTCCACCGGCCCACCGTGGGCAGTCCACCCGTGCCCACTCTAGCTATAATCTCTTTTTTGTAAAAATATTACAAATGCTTATCTGCTTTTTTCAAGTGATTGTACTTGCAAGTCTTTAGATGAAACAAAAGAAATTGAATGCCCACTCCTACAGGTGGGCAGAGTGGACAAGGTACAAATTTTGCCCACCCGGTGCCCACTCCCATGGTGGGCCGGTGGACAAAGAAAAATCCACCCTAGCTGTAGTGTATGTTCTATAAAGTGGTGAAAGGTACCTAGTAAATATTTCTATACCACTTCTTCCTCTTCCCTATTTCATAATATAAAGATTTTCCTGATCATAAAAAATCATAAATGATATATAGACAGCAAAAAGAAATTTCTTTCAGGAAAATGATCATGAGGCATTATACATTAGACAAGTTTCCAATTATTTAAATACTAGAAAGTAATCTCCATCTCCATCAAACTTTCAACTTGTATGTTTTACTCTCATTCCAAAAAAACCTGCTGATAAAGCACAGCATAAGATGGATTAAAAGAGACTTTGTTTACAGCTGTGTTACTTACATATACTGTATAAAGATGGCACAAAAAATCCTCCAGCACAACAACCTAGCAGCAGTAAAAACTTCCAAAACCAAAATCTGTAATTCAAACATTTTTATTTAATATTTTAGTTTTATGGTATGACAATGAGACAGCAACTCAACAACACAAACAAACCAAAAAGATTTCCATAGGAAAAAAACATGGTTCTTGACAATAGACAAATATGTATTCAATATGACAAGCTCTAATATTAATTGTCCAAGTCTAGAACAAGAGTGAACATACTGAAATGTCTCGCCTGCTTTACGGACCATTTATTCTATATTGAAAGTCTTAAAGATAAAGGTTTTACTAAAAGCATTACAGAAACTTAACATTTCTAAAGATCTATGACAATGAGGTCAAGGTCAGATAAATCATGTCAGAAATATACACCTTACAAATTTTTTATACACCAAATATAGTTGACCTATTGCGTATGCTAATTGAAAACAGACCAAAACATAAAAATTTAACATTGACCAATGAACCATGAAAGAGGTCAAGGTCAGATGATAACTGCCAGACAGACATGTGCACCTTTAACATGTTAAAATTATTCCATACACCAAATATAGCTGACCTATTGCTATTAGTATTCATAAAACAGACAAAAACACAAAAACTTAACATTGACCATTGAACCATACAAATGATGTCAAGGTCAGATGATACCTGCCAGACAGACATGTACACCCTACAATCGTTTCATACACCAAATATAGTTGACCTATTGCTTACAGTACTTGAAAAACAGACCAAAACACAAAAACTTAACATTGACCAATTAACCATGAAAATGAGGTCAAGGTCAAATGATACCTACCAGACAGACATGTACACCTTACACTCATTCCATACACCAAACATAGTAGACCTATTGCATACAGTACAAGAAAAACAGACCAAAACACAAAAACTTAACTATAACCACTGAACCATGAAAATGAGGTCAAGGTCAGATGACACCTGCCAGTTGGACATGTACACCTTACAATCATTCCATACACCAAATATAGTAGACCTATTGCTTATAGTATCTGAAATATGGACTTGACCACCAAAACTTAACCTTGTTCACTGATCCATGAAATGAGGTCGAGGTCAAGTGAAAACTGTCTGACGGGCATGAAGACCTTGCAAGGTACGCACATACCAAATATAGTTATCCTATTACTCATAATAATAGAGAAATTAAGAATACTAAAAATCTTAACTTTTTTTTCAAGTAGTCACTGAACCATGAAAATGAGGTCAAGGTCGATGGACATATGACAGACGGACACTTAATAACATAAGGCATCTATATACAAAGTATGAAGGATCCAGGTATTCTACCTTCTGAAATATTAAGCTTTTAAGAAGTTAGCTAATGCCGCCGCCGCCTCCGGATCACTATCACTATGTCGAGCTTTCTGCAACAAAAGTCGCAGGCTCGACAAAAATGGTATGGGTTTTGCTCATTGTTGAAGGCAATTACAGTAACAGTGACCTATAGTTGTTAACTTCTATGTCATTTCGTGTCTGGTGGAGAGTTGTCTCATTGTCAATTATACCACATCTTCTTATTTCTATATTAATATCAAATTCATGTAAAAAAACAGCTGTTTGTTTTATGCAAAAAATTCAGAAAAATGCCTTTAAAATGAGAAGAGAAGGTATAATAAGAGCCGTTTTTTGGTTCCTGAAATACTAAATTTTTCAGTCTCTTCAAACTTAAAACCTATTGATAAATAAGTAGGATAATATAATTTGAACACTTCAGTACAAAAATTCAGTTGGGATGTCACTAAGATGTTCAAATTTATGAATTTAACCTAACTGTTCATGTCAACATTATTTGGTAAAATTAGTTATAAGCAAAAGCCTCACACAAAAAGATATTAAATCCCCTATTACATATTTGTATAACATATGCATAAAGCATATTGTAATAAAATAACTTTTTTTGGTAAGGTCTTGGTTCATATCTAAATATTAATGACAAGATCTAAAATGTTGGGCTATTTTGGAAGTTTTTGCAGTACATGTATTGCAACAAATGCAATAAATTTGATGCCCTAACTCAAATATGTAAGACAAAATTTTAAAATATTAATGCTGATATCTGACAAACTAATGTCTTGTGAACATCTTAAAATACTTTTTAATTTTCGAATTCAAAGGGCCGTAACATACATTTTCCTTTATTGATCAATGTTAATATACATAATTACAGATTATTGATGAATTTACATTTGAAAAATAAGTAATAAAAGAAGAATGTGTTCATGGAACACAGATGCCCCTCCATGTAAATATATGGCAAATTCAGCAATTTTTCCATTTATAACAGGACATAACTCGAGAACGGTGAAAGTGACACCACCCAAATTCAATCTTGATAAGTGTTTGGTGGTAATAAGCATTGTGCATAAGTTTCAAAACATTTGATGCAGGTATAGTAAAGTTAGAGTGCGGAAACAGCGAATTCAGCAATTTATCCATTTATAAAGGGACATAACTGAAATAAACAGTGAAAATGAGGCCACCCAATTTGAGCTTGATCTGTGTTTGGTGATAATAAGCATTGCGTATATGCTTCATAACATTTGGTTGAGGCAAACTAAAGTTAGAGAACAGAAACCAATTTCGGGACATACTTGCGTGGGAATAAATAAACTGCTTCGCTGAGCGCAGCTAGATACGCCCGCAGAGGTCCAACCCTGAACAGTTGGGGCAAAAATGGACATAATATTCAAGCTTGATTCAGGTCTGAATTTGGATTGTAATCAAATATTTGACATATTATAGGTGTCTGAATAAATGTATTCAAAGAACTTGAAATTGGTTATATGAATTGAATTTATGTTCAATTAAAGATTTCTTGCTGTTGTGCAATACTTAGTAAATCTGTTGTCAGACTATAAACAAATAAAGTATAATTAATTCTCAATGTCATATTAGAAATTTATGAAAATAAAAAGGGAGCTTACATCAATAGATATAAACAATTCACCAAAGTTTCATGAGAATTGGTGACAGCATTTTTGAGTTATTGTCAGAAAACTGGAAAATCACCCCTTTTTAATGAATAAAACCCCATAACTCAGAAATGTAAAATGTAAAATTTATAAAATTCTAAAGGGAGCTTACATCAATACATACAAACAATTCACCAAAGTTTCATAAGAATTGCTGAAAGCATTTGTGAGTTTTTGTCTGATAACTGGAAAGTCCCCCCTTTTTTTATGAATAAAACCCCGTAACTCGGAAACGTAAAATCTAAAATTTATAAAAATCAAAAGGGAGCTCATGTCAATAGATATAAACAATTCACCACAATTTCTTGCAAGTTGGTGAAAGCATTCTTGACTTATTGTCCGAAAACTGGAAAATCCCCCTTTTTTTAATGAATAAAACCCCATAACTCGGAAACGTAAAATCTAAATTTTATAAAAAACGAAAGGGAGCTCACGTCAATAGATATAAACAATTCACCAAAGTTTTATGCAAATTGGTTTAAGCAATTTTGAGTTAATGTCCGACATGTTGACGACGGACAGACGGACAGACAGACGGACGGACGGACAACGGTATACCATAATACGTCCCGTAAACGGGCGTATAAAAAATGAAATTTATAAATGAACATGATGAACAGTCTGACAATATATGTTTTAAAACTAGTAAACTATATAAGAATGTATTACCCATTATGCCACGCTCCTCTGCACTGAGCACTGGATGATACACAAAGTGTCATGATACACATGAAGAAGCTGAACACAACCATTCCAAAGCACAGTCTATATACTGCTTTATAGCCTGTTAACCTGCTACAGTTGGCTCCTGCATTTAAGTCCAAACATGTCTCATTGAACCCTGGTATCTACAAATAGCAATACTTCAAATGACCAAATGTCAGGATTGGATTAAAATTAAAATGTTATACATATATTTAGTTTGTTTATGCATTCAACATGGTACATGTATGATATATTTCACTGTAAAGGACAGATTGATTAATTATCAACATATTCTATACATGCACCTCAATATTTCCAGGATAATAAATCCTTTCAAATTTATCCAGTAAATTTAAGGTAATATGTAATTATCTTTAATCTTATGGATAAATTGGAACCGTAAGGATATGAAGTGGATGTATATTTATATGAAATAAAAGTATCATGAAATACTAGGAAATTACCTATATATCAATGGTATAACACTTTTATTGCTGTTTTTTTATCTCGATATTGCATTATCTTTCCCTCCCAAAGACACTATTGACACATACTTTTCAAAATAAGGTTTTATATGCTTTTCTGCATAACAGATCAATTTTGAAAATAATTGACAGTTCTGGCATGACTATATGATATATTATTTGCATGAAAAACTAAAGTTAGGTCCTTTGTGCAATTTATGCTGTTTTGTGCTGTTATTTTCATTTGCAATTTACTTTTAGAGTGTGGTGTTTACACCTGGATTCCTACATCTAGAATTATGTGAGTTTGTACTTACATTTTCCATAATAGCATGTTCAAAATTTGGTGACAGCATAAAACAGGCAACCAGGAAACCAATAACAAATAAGATGGTATACATAATACGTGTAGTTGTTGATTCATTTATAGGTGGTAGACAAAAACAGCATAGGCCACATGATGCCTTCCAAAAGCAACATTGTGCCTGAAATATGAAAGAAATTTATTTCAAGTTTATGTCAAAATTGCATAATTCTCAACAGCAACATTGAATGTATACCTCTCTTAGCTCTGAAAACTTTTGTGATAAACCTGTCCCAAGTTAGGAGCCTGTAGTTCAGTGTTTATTGTTGGTTCATGTCTGTCATATTTGTTTTTCACATATTGTTTTGTTATAAATAAATTAGGCCGTTAGTTTTCTCAATTGAATTGTTCATATTTTTCATGTCGGTGCCTTTCACAGCCGACTTTACCGTATGAAGTATGCAGAAGGTTTCAAAAAAGATAAATCCATACAGATAACTTGGTCTCCAGTTTCTGAACACTTTTTCTTCTTCTTCAAAATACTGCCCACATTCAACATGATGAATTTAATGCAAATCAAAAGAAAAATAATTATCTGGTAACAGCAATACCGTGACAACATAAATATTCGGCGAAATTTTCAACAAACTTTAACATAATTAATTCAAATAATTTATACTATACAAGACAACAAAATAAAATAGAAATCAGGGCAAATGGACTCAGTGCGAACAGGAATTAGGGCAAACGGACCCAGGACAAACAGGTATTAGGGCGAACAGGTACTAGGGCGAACGTGAATCAGGGCGAACAGACCCGGATCCCCCCCCCCCCCCCCCTTTGCATGATATCCAAAGAGCAATGATTATGGCCCACATTGATATGAAAAACAAGTATATGGAGTATATAGTGACCATAGAAGAAAATTGGCCGATGTTTTGTACTCAATATATGATACGTAACAGGGTACTTACTACATGTCATTCATCACACAACCTGTTTTGGGTGCTTTGGATATTATTTATGGGGGTTTATGGTCCAAATTTGTGACACAAAGTCATTAAATAAATAAAACATCCACGGTTGTCGAATCACTGAAATTTTTGAAGTACCGCAGTTTGCGTTTGTTTTTTTACCCTCTAATTACTCGTAACCTGAATATTACAGGCTCTTCCCGTAATCAATAACTCGTACTTGCAGGGTAACTTGGTCATCGTAGACCGACTTAATTATTCTGATTAAACTTCTCGAAGAAATACAAAACCTTGTCAATATTTTGCAACAGGAAATTGAGTATGAAACAAAATTATTGGCAAATTTAACAGTAACGAGTCAAGGGTATAACTCTATAGGGTTATTACAGAAAAATAACATACATTTGTTATTGTGGACTAAAAAATCTAAAAACATACATTTGTTATTGTGGACTAAAAAATCCAAAAACATACATGTATGTATGCTACATGTTTCAAAGGGGCAATATACATCCTTTGTTTTGTTAAAATGTATACAAGTTCTATTGATATTATTATTGTCTTTATGTCATGTATGTATACTAAACTATAGAAAGATATAACAGTTCATAGTTTGACAACCATGCTTAGTATACCTATGTTATTACAGAACAAATATGCCTGTAATAACTAAAGGGTGTTATTACAGCTTCTCTACCTCACTTCAAAGCCTTTGCTCAGACATATATCATGCTTAATCACAATGTATTTTAATTTATTGTAAGAAATAATGATCAGAGCATGTAATGAGGTTCTGCGCAAGCTTCCAAGCAATTCCCAAGTGTCTCATATAATAAGTTACATGCCTGTAATAACTAAGCCTTGTTATTACAGCTTAGTTTATCACTTAAAAGCCTTGTCTCATTGATTTGCCATGGTTGATAAAAAATGTATTAATTTAATTGGAAAATTAGTTATCAAGGCTATGTATTAAGTTAATGCACAAAGTAACAAGAATTCCCAAGAGCCCACTAGAAATTTAAATATTTATGATTTATTTAACGAATAACAAACATATGTTACTACAGATTAAGATAAATCAAGAAATAAAGAGTAGACAACTCATGAAAGTATCTGTAATAACACATGTATGATATTTTCTCTAATAACCCTGTAGAGTTATACCCTTGACTGGTTACGGAAATGAACAAAATCCGGAAATTGGAAAGTTTTAATAATAAAAAAAAAGGCAGTGTCTGCAGGTACACGCATGCGGGTACGAATAGTCAAATTGCCATTCATAGGCTACTCGTACCCACATCCGGTTTTATAATAAAATGCCATCGGATCGGGAATGAAACGTGAAATAAATACGGAATTTGTCGCAATTAGTGAATAAATTGATTAAAACTACTCAGAATTTTTATAAATATTTATATATAGGTAAGTGAACAGTTGTTCTCAGTTAATAAATATTCTTAAAATGGAAGAGAGTGATATATATGTGGGGAGACATCTCAAAGTTATCATGAATTGGAACAATTTGTTCAGACCTATCAGTCGATTAATTTTATATAATTGTATAACAAGAAACTCGGAGTCAATTGCAGCTGCAGAGAAAAGAAGAACTGGAAACACAAAAATTATTTCTGATAAAACAAAGGCCGATGCCAATAATCTTCTAGATGCTTCGTTAATAAATAACAAAATATTTGACGAAAATGTAAACCTTCAGCACATCAAAAAATATTTTACCTTTGAAGCGCGGAAGCAACTGAAAATTCGGATCAACGAAAGAAGAGAATCATGCGAATGGATATGTATCAAATGTCAAAAAAAAAACTACACGATCAGGACTCTTTGGCCTGTGATTATTGTTTGGACTGGCAACATTTGAAATGTGCAGGGTTGAAATATGTGCCAAAAAAATCATATTGGATACGTAAAATTTGTTCCAAATCTTAATTAGCTACATGAATATTTTATATTAATTGGTTTAATTTGACATTATTACTTGCTTCTTTAATTTTTATATAGACACCCAAGCTTTAATTTTAGTCGTTTAAGATATTTTAAAATTTCAGTTTCTGTTTTACATTTTACTAAAAGATTATTTTTAAATCTCATATGGGTATTTTTCAAAATCAGTAAAATTTTATTCTTTAAATTTGCATTTACATTTTATAACAGTATTAATTTTTATCATGTTCTTCTTTTACAGGGACTGTACAGTTTCATTTTCCATCAGTGTGCATTTAATTTGCAATGTTTATTATGTATCATTATCTAATAAATACAATTTGAAAATATTATTTTTCATACTCTTCAGTGTCTTCACTCATTCTACACGAAATCCCCATATTATCGATAGTTTCAGTATATATTTCACGTTTCATTCCCGATCCGATGGCATTTTATTATAAAACCGGATGTGGGTACGCGTAGCCTATGAATGGCAATTTGACTATTCGTACCCGCATGCGGGTACGCGCAGACACTGCCAAAAAAAAATAGGGGTGGGACGTTTTCAGATGGGCGGGCAGGGATGAAAATCAATCAATTAATTTTAATTGGCCTAAGTGGGGCGATTTGGTAGGCTCAAATTAAGGGGGATTAAACTATTTTTCATAAGTGGGGCGAGTTGGTAGAAAGTAAAGCGAGTTGGTCTGGGGCAATTTGGCAATGGGGAGAGTTAAAGGCGGCGCATAAAGTCATTATGACATTAAAGAGCAAGCCTTTTACAAAAAAAATACACTGCTTTGTTTATATTTTGTCATTTTTTTTCATTGGAAGCCTTCTCTTTTTTATAAACATTGACACTTTTTTCTTCCCATTCATTGCCCATAATTTCTATTATCATTGATAGAACGTCTAGTGCCTGTGCCTGTGGACATATAAATGAAAGTGACTGATTCACAAAGTCAAAGACAAAGTGTATGCAATGATGAATTATTCCTCGATACCATAAAATACAATGTTCTTGTAAAATACCTGGGAGGAACAACACCCTCCCATTTAGAGTATGGGCAACAAATGCACTAATCAGCGAATGGATGGATATAAATTTAAATAGATTCAAAATGTCAACATAGGAATGATCGATGAAGTGTTGATTCAAATCTAAGATTAGGACAAGGAATTTTAATAGTTCTACTTTTTAAATCGTTGTATAGAACAATATTTATATGTGAATACATAACATAAATGTATATATATATTGATATAATTAAAATTTGAAGTAATCCTATTAAAAAAATCCAAGTGTTTTGTATTTGTGAGAACATATAGCAACCCATACTTTACTCCAATCTCGACTACCGGAAGTTGCATGTGCGCTCCTAGAAAACCTAAAAAAGAGCAAGAATGGGAAAACTAAACGTTTCCATGTTAAGATATCTAACAAAAGAGGATTTTCGAGTGTTAACTGCGGTAAACAATTTAAATCACCCACCGTAAGCTGTTTGGTCATAAAGGGATGAGGTGGCACTGGGGGCAGATTTGTCAAATTTCACTGCATTGTTATTTAATTAGTAAATGTAATTTATAAAAATTTGCCCAGCCTTCATCTGTACCACAGGCACTTGTTTCTATCCCAGTGATCTGGAAGGATTTTTTCTCTATGGGCCCAGGGCCCCCAAAAAATAAATTCAATGGGCCATTTTTAGAATTAATGGGCCATGTTGTCAAATGAGTGGGCCATTCGTTTACAATAAAAAAAAATAAAAAAGTGTATATTTCACTGTACTTACAAGTATGATCCTAATTAATATCATGGATATTGTTCCTGTGATTTTGTAATTTCAATTTCAATGAATATACAATAACTTCTTCCAGACCGGGCAATATCTACGATAACCTTTATTTACAATGTTAAAACTGGTACTGTTCCCTTGAATTGTTCATGTTCATGTTTTTTTTTCCATTAAATTTGGGTCTTCGTCGCTACCATACTTACTCCAAACGTTCCGTATTAGAGGACGTTTCTGGCATTTCCTCTGCACTTGTATTATTATTACTTCATCACGATGACAAGAATAACAGTAGAGAGCAACGTTAATTGATAAGACACAACAACAATTCGATGAAGGCATGTTTACAAAATGTCAAAACGAGCCAAAGACCAAAAAAATTGACAAAGACAGTTAAGGCCCTTTTATGGAGACAAATACTATGCTATTCATAAAAAGGCTTTTGGATTTTTCAATCGAAATAATAGCAAGCTTACTTAAAAGATTATAATTAGAGAAGAATTCTCGCCTGTACTAGCCAATTTTCACAAATTTAAAGTTGTTTATAAAAAATTATATCATGAATGATGGTTAATTACGTTTTTTGGGTAATCAGTCATACCGCATGTTGCTATTATTACCATAGGAAAACACCCGAGATGTCCCAAAATTATATAGGTGCTCCTATCATTGGAGTAAACACTACACAGTTGTGTACTCACATATGGCGACACGAAATACGATCGGAAATCCATTTGACGATATCTCAACGTTTCAAAACGAAGTGAAAAATATCATGCGCCACGCGGGCGCTTACATTTGTCACTCTATGCTCCATTTCTGGTCGATAAGCGCAATTGGCGCAAGGCGCACGTCCTTCCCGATCACTGTATCCATGGGAAGGTTAGTCTTCTCATGGATAAATTTGTTTCTATCCATGGGAAGGTCAACTATTCATAATGATAGGATGGGGGGGGGGGGGGAGTAAAAAAAAAAATTTTTTTGGGGGGTCAATTTTTTTTCCTCAAGATTTAAGAAATTGTCAATTTTTCAAAGAAACAAATTGGGGGTCACAATTTATTTTGCTAATTCTTTGTATATAGTCTGAAGTTACTAAGTATTGCGCAACAGCATAGTGTATTGCACAACAGCAAGAAATCTTCAATTGAATATAAATTCAAATCATACAACCAATTTCAAGTTCTTTGACTACATTTATTCTGTGTCAGAAACCTATAATGTGTCAAATATTTAATTACAATCCAAATTCAGACCTGTATCAATCTTAAATATTGTGTCCATTTTTGCCCTAACTGTTGGACCTCTGTGGTCGTATCCAGCTGTGCTCGGCGAAACAGTTTATTGTTGATTGAATCAGTCAACAAAATGGTTCATCGTTGTATCACTTTCAATGTTGACATTATTTTCCTTTTAATGGCTGAACACAACTTATAGATGCGTAACCAATCTCTAGCTAACGAGTTAAATTGAAGGTCACATGAATACGGATTCAATGAGGTCAAATTATTCACTTGCAAGTGAATAAGTCTTCAGCTATGTTTCTTAGCTTATTTTGACAAAATTGAACTAAACTGACTGCTAAAAGCGAATTATTATTTCCCTATTTCACTTTCATTAATGATTGAAAAAAAATTATCATATTTTAATTTTTTTTATATCTCGTAGCTAATGCTCCTTTAATACTATAACCAACATGACAGCCCAAATGTTACATCACGTCGCAAATGCGTAAGGTTAATCAATTTTAATATAATGCGATTACCACAGTCACTATAAAAAATCCAGGGGAGAACACTGTAATTTTAAAACATGTTAAAGTATTTCTATTTTAGTTTCAACGTATGCATTTTACTATCAAATTGCATACAGGCGAGACATATCTCTGTGTCAACAGTTTATTATAGATTAAGATATAAACTTAATGCAATGACATTAAAAAATGTTCCATACATCATTTTTTTGTTGCATATATAGATATAAAAAATAATATACAGATATTTTTACTACCGGTACTGTAAATGCTTTAAAATTTAAACTAATGTATTGGATGCCCTTTAAAAAACTTTTAAACTGAATTTCATATTCTTTTTAAACTTGTGACAATAAAGTAATAAGGGAATAAACCTTTTCCATCCTTGAATTTTTAGCACCACCTTTGGATTTTCAGCATTACTCTGAATTTTCTCTGCATTTACCTTTTATTTTGAGATAAAATGAGATAAATTTTGGAATAATTTTTAATCAGTATTATTTTGAAAGACTATAAATAAGTTTTTAATTTTGTTGTCATAATACATACATACATGTCATAATACATACATACATGTATGTATACACACAATGACATTCATGTGTATAGATTTTTTGAGAGTATCACAAATGGTATTACATGTAATATAATTATTAATATTTTTCACCAGTCAAAAAAACAAGTTGAAATATGAGCTATTGCTACAAATGATACTCCTACTTTAAACATTCCGTAAAAGCTCTGATTTGAAGATCTTGAGAAAAATGTGACGAAAATTTCAAACTTAGCCATTTATACTGTTTGTTTAAAGATATATCAGTAAACAGGTAGTTCACAAGTGATGTTATATCCGAGACTTCCAAAAGTCTTCCATTAATGCCTCCTTAACATTTAAGATATAAGCAGTGACAAGCACAGGCAAGGTTCTTTATCTTTTCTGATTTGGAAGAAATTTCTATTTCTTTTTGCAGGTTGAAATGGGATTAAAGAATCATGAGATTGTACCAACTCCACTGATTGCTTCGATTGCACATCTACATGGAGGAGGCTGTCATAAAGTATTGAGAGAATTATGTAAACATAGGCTGGTGGCTTATGAACATGCTGGTAGAAAAGGTAGGAAAATATATACAGTGAAGGGTTATCGGAAGCTGTAGTTAAACTTTGTTATTTGAAATATATATATATATATATATATATAGAGTCTATAAGAATCTACCAACCAGTAAACTTAATAGGTATTGGATCATCAAAATTGACAATACTACACAAACAGGGAAAATTATATGAGTCTAAAAGATTGTGTAACAATACCAATAAATAGATGGAAAACAAAACACTAAAAAGTGTTGAATATCATTGCACAAAGATGGAAAAACTGAACAGATGATATAAATTATACAATAATTGCAAATATTTCGGCTCAACAAATGGCCTTCCTCAGTGTTAAAAGTTTTAACAATACTGATATATAATGTATAAGGTGTAAACATAGATCAGTAATAATACAGGTAAGTTTTGGTCGATTGATTTTAATCCAAAATCCTGAATATCATAGTATAAACATTAGACTGTAAATTAAATTATTTCTTTCTATTGATTCCATCTGGATGGAGGACACCCAGTGTTTTTATCCAAAACTTCTCCCGATTCTCTCTTTGCCTATTTTGTCATGTACAATCCTGTTCGATCACAAGGATCTTCATGTGATCAAAATCTTTCAGATTGTGATCTGGTTACCTGAAGTGTTGGCTGACAGGAATATACGGTTTTTTTGTGAGGTCACTCCTGTGGCCATTAAGGCGTTTGTGAAATGGCTGCATAGATTCACCAACATATTAGAGACCACATATAGGACACTCAAGAACGTAAATCATGTTTGAGCTTTTGCAGTTGACATTGCAGAAGATCTTGTATGTCTTTTCTGTGGTCTTACTGTGAAATGTTGATGAATGCTGCAATTGGTTGCAACATTTGCAGCGCTTATCCCCACAAGGCTGGCAATTACCTACAGTATGGTTAGGTTTGGAAAGGTCAGCACGGACAAGTATATTTCTCAGGTTGTTTGAAGGCAATCATGGGAGGCTCAGGAAAGATTTTGGATAACTTAGAATGTTTCTCGATTGCTGTCCAATGATCACGAATGGTCTTGAAACTATTTCTCAGGCATGGATGGTAGGTGAGCACACATGGGATTCTTTTACTTTTCTGTTTTTCTTTGTAAGATAGCAGACTGCTTCTGGGGATGGATTCCGCTTTTCGAAAACTATTTTTGATGTTTTTGTGTTTATATCCCCTTCTTTTCAAATGTATATATATATATAAACAAGTCTAAATTGAAAACAACGTTCAAACTTATGATTGCCTTGGATAAAAACCGCAATTTTTATAAGTGTGCATGCAAAACAAATTTCTTGGTAGAGGAGTCTAAATACAGCACAAACAACATTTTCCAAAAGACCTAAAAAGTGAAAAAAGTACATTTTAACAAAACTCATTTGACTAGCGGGTCAAACAACAGATATTCTTAAACCCTGCTGACTGCCAATATATATATATATGTATCATGTATATAATCAAAATCTCTCAAATTGAGGTAAAGAAATACTCTTTAAAATAATCCGGGTCTTTTGACCGGTTATGCACATGCAAATTCATATATTCATGATAGTCTTGTTTTCATCATCTTTTTAGTTACCATTATTGTTGTACTGATATTTCAAAAGATGTTAATCTTTGTTGCATTATGGAAAAAAATATATAAAAGGAAGAAATTAATGTTTTATTGTAAGAAGTATATTAAAGATAAAAATGATTTCTAGCTTTTTTACTGATAGTGTATTTGAAATGTAAGATTAAAAATAAATATTGAGAAATAAAGGTGTTGTAGGGTAAAATTGTAATGAATAGACTAGGAAAAAGCCAGAGGTTACCAAATATTATAGAAAAATTACTTGAAGGGTGAACATCCTGAAAACCCACTTTTATATCAATAGAAAACGAGGCTCAAAATACAGTCCTGTACATGCATGAAATATTTGAAAATGATTGAATTATAAATGTCTTTGTATTTTTCAGCTGAAGGTTACAGACTTACAATAGCTGGATATGACTATTTAGCATTGAAGGCACTTGCCAGCAGAGAGACTGTATATTCCCTTGGCAATCAGATTGGTGTTGGCAAAGAATCAGGTTAGAATAAGATACGTTATCTTCAATGTACATGTACAATATACTTTGGTACAAAATTTGAACATGAAAAAAAAGTTCTTGTGAAGCAGTAATGATATTGACTGCACATATTTGTCACTATTGTTTAAAAAGAAGTCAGATTCTGGACTAGAAAGAAGAAATTTCCTGCTTGTCAGGTCCATGGTGAATTTTGGGCCATCTCATCATGTCTAAAAATGTCTCTTACCTGTCAAACTTGAAAAAAAAATTTAACCTGCTATTTCGATTTTTGATCCAAGTTTAAAAATCAGGGCTATTGATTTTTTTTTGTGGAACTTGTGCCTATTTGATATATGAATAGTATTGAAAAGTCAAATCGTAAGTGCTATCACACCTATAGTTCTCATCTGAGTCTGTTAGGGAAAAAATTGCATGAAATAGGGACCAAACAGCAAAAAATCAATGTTGGGCCTGAGCATATGGCTTAGGGAGAAAATTTTAAATGATACGAAAATTAGAGGTAGAAATTTTAATGTTTTGAATTTGATAATTTGGAGTAAAATTTTGCTACTAAACTCAGTTCATCTTTTGTTCTATAGTTATGATTGTTTTTTTTTTTATTTTACAGATATTTACATTGTAGCAGACAGTGAGGATCATCAGTATGCAGCTAAATTTCACAGGTATTTTGTTTATATGTAATGACTTACTGTCACATGTATTAGTTTACCTCATTGAAACTAAGGAAGACTGAATATGTTTTGCTTGTACATCTGATTTCCTGTTTCCTCCCCAAGGGTTATCACCAGCCCAATAGTCAGCACTTCTCTGTTGACATGAATTATCATTGATATGGTCATAATTATAAATTAATTGTTTACACAGCTTTGAATTTTTTGAAATATTAAGGATTTTCTACCCCAATAACAGAATACTATAGCTTTATTAAAGCAAAAAATTTCAGAATTTTGGGCCCTTAATGCTCTTTAACTTCGTACTGTTTGACATTTTTGATACTTTTGAAGACGAAACGCTCGTCTGGCGTCCAAAGTTGAAAGCCTGGTATCTGTAATGGGTTTATTTACAATCACTTGGTCGATGCCACTGCTGGTGGAGGTTCCCTCCTTAAGGGTATCACCAGCCCAGTAGTCAGCACTTCTGTGTTGACATGAATTATCATTGATATGGTCATAATTTTAAATTAACTGTTTACAAAACTTTGAATTTTTCAAAATCCTAAGGATTTTCTACCTCATGAATAGATTACCTTAGCTGTATTTTGGAAAAACCTTTCGAAATTTTGGGTCTTCAATGCTCATCAATTTCTGACTTTATTTGGCCTTTTTAACTTTTTTGGTCGGAGTGTCACTGATAAGTCTTTTGTAGACGAAACAGGCATCTGGCGTACAAAATTATAAGCCTGGTATCTATGATGAGTTTATTTACTTGTACATCTGATTCCCTGTTCATCCTTACCCATGTAACTGGGTGAGACTGAATACCCTTTGCTTGTACATCTGATTCCCAGTTACCTTTATGTTGTATACCAAAGCAATCCTCAGTTGAGGAACCTATGGAGCTTCCCAGTTAGTCTCCAAATGACAGAAAAGGGTTGCCTTCTTCTAGTGGGGTTGTTGTGATAAAGTTAAAAAGACTCTCTACTTTTCTAGCTGCAATCAAAAGTTTTGGTTTCCATTCCTGACCATTTGTAGTCACATTTTTGTCGAGCCTTCGACTTTTGTCGAAAAAGCGAGACATAGCGATCCTACATTCCTTCGTCGTTGCAGCGGCCGCGTCCACAAATATTCACTCTGTGGTTAAAGTTTTTGAAATTTTAATAACTTTCTTAAACTATCATTGATTTCTACCAAACTTGGACAGAAGCTTGTTTATGATCATAAGATAGTATCCAGAAGTAAATTTGGTAAAAAAAAAATTCCTGTTTTTCCATATTTTACTTATAAATGGACTTACATGTAGTTTTTCTGCCAGTTAACATTACATTCACTCTGTGGTTAAAGTTTTTAAAATTTTAATAACTTTCTCCAACTATCCTGGATTTCTACCAAACTTGGGCAGAAGCTTGTTTATGATCATAAGATAGTATCCAGAAGTAAATTTAAAAAAAAAAATCCTATTTTTCTGTATTTTACTTATAAATGGACTTAGTTTTTCTGCCAGGAAACATTGCATTCACTCTGTGGTTAAAGTTTTTAAAATTTTAATAACTTTCTTAAACTATCCTGGATTAGTACCAAACATGGACAGAAGTTTGTTTATGATCAAAAGCTGGTATGTAGAAGGAAATTTTTATTAAAATTTTGTACTTGTTTATCCATATTTTACTTATAAATGGACTAAGTTTTTATACGACCGCAAAAAAATTTTGCAGTCGTATATTGGTATGACGTTGGCGTCGTCGTCCGAAGACACATTGGTTTTCACACTCTAACTTTAGTTTAAGTGAATGGATCTCTATGAAATTTTACCATAAGGTTCAATACCACAAAAGGAAGGTTGGGATTGATTTTGGGGGTTATGGTACCAACAGTTAAGGAATTAGGGCCCAAAAAGGGGCCAAAAATAAGCATTTTTGTAACTTCCAGACATAACTTGTGTGTGAGTGTATGGATCTCTCTGACATTGTACCACAAGGTTCCATATCACAAAGGGAATGCTGGGATTGATTTTGGGGGTAATTGCCTCAAAATTTTAGGAATTGGGGGCAAAAAAAGGGGCAGAAAACAATTCTAGTTTCACGACAATTACTTGTGTGTAAGTGTATGGATCTTTTTGAAATTGTACTACAAGGTTCCATATCACAAAGGAAAAGCTGGAATTGAGTTTGGGGGTAATTGCCTCCATATTTTAGGAATAAGGGGCCAAAAAGGGGCCAAAAATAAGCATTTTTCTAGTTTCCAGACAATAACTTGTGTTTAAGTGTATGGATCTCTCTGAAATTGTACTGCAAGGTACCATACCACAAAGGGAAGGCTGGGATTGATTTTGGGGGTAATTGCCTCAAAAATTTAGGAATTAGGGGCCATAAAGGGGCAAAAAAACAAGCATTTTTCTAGTTTCAGGACAATAACTTGTGTGTAAGTGTATGGATCTTTATGAAATTGTACTACAAGGTTCCGTATCACAAAGGGAAAGCTGGGTTTGAGTTTGGGGGTAATTGCCCTTAACTTTTAGGAATTTGGGGCCAAAAAACAAGCATTTTTCTAGTTTCCAGACAATAACTTGTGGTCAAGTGTATGGATCTCTCTGAAATTGTACTGCAAGGTACCATACCACAAAGGGAAGGCTGGGATTGAGTTTGGGGGTGATGAATCATAAGGGGGTTCAAAAAATTTGGGGGGGGGATTCTGATTTATATATAAAAGCAAATAATAATGATATGGTTTGAATAGGTAAATTAAAAAATTTTAAGTTCTTAGATCACATTCATTCTGTGTCAGAAACCTATGCTGTGTCAAATATTTAATTACAATCCAAATTCAGTGCTGTATCAAGCTTGAATGTTGTGTCCATACTTGCCCCAACTGTTCTGGGGTCGACCTCTGCGGTCGTATCAAGCTGCGCCCCAGCGGAGCATTTTATTTAATATAACTGGTATTTTAAATTTCAAAATGTTTACTAGATGATAGGCCACCACCAATTAACCAGTCCAATGTCATATATTTAATTAGATTGGGAAGGACTTCATTTAGACAGTTAAAGAACAAGAGAGATTACCATAAACATAGGAACAAAGCATCATGGTTATACCTCTCCAGGCTGGCAGCCATGAAAGAGTTTGCATACATGAAGGTAATATTATATCATTTGTAATTAATCAAACTAATTTACTGTGGATTCATTTATTTTCCTGGGTAGGCGCTACCTATTTATGTGGATTCAGGAAAAATTGTATTTCCATGGATAGTTGATTTTGTGGTTTTGCCAAAGTTTCTTTGTTGAACATTTAAATTTGTGGTTCCTCTACCCACAAAATCTACAAATTTTGTATCCCATGAATGATAAAGAACCCACAGTATATGTAAATGGATTTTGGGATTAATTTTTACTTTATACTATTATCAGCAATATTCAGAGTATTTATGTATAAATATCTTATTGATGGATATATATTTAAAAAATAATTTTCATTTAATTTGGACATCAAAGGGGAAAAACTATAAATGCCCTTGTTAGTAGATAGACCTTGTTACCCTTTATTGACAAACATATTTAAATTGTTTTTAAGTTATTAACTTTTTCCATAACAGAATATTTCATAACTTCTAAATCTTTAGAATATGCTTAAATGTATTTATTGAAATGAAGTTTATAGTGCATATAATTATTCATTGTTTTTTTTAGGCTTTATATGACAGAAAATTTCCAGTACCAAAACCAATAGATTTCAACAGACATACTGTTATAATGGAGTTACTGAGTGGACATCCCATGTAAGTTTTAAATTGTCTTTGAATTGATGAAAATTGAACAAATCTAGAGAATTGTATGCGATTAAAAGGCAACATTTGAAGTGGTTATCAAAGAATATTAAATAGAAATGCTTAGATTAACATGGCCTGCAGGGCTCACACTACTTCAGAATCATAGGGAGAAGTGACTTCTCTTTTTGAAACTGATAGGGAGAAGTGGTGAGATTTGAAAGAGAAGTGCTCCTTCGCGCGCTGCGCTACAATGTTTTGATTTTACTATAGCATACAGGGTCATATATTAATAATGTTCTTTTTATATTGTTCAATTCATATCTGAGTATACAATTAAATTAACAGTTCAAATTCAAAGTTGTTTAAGTTTAGGTTCTTGTGAGAAACTACCAACTAAATATCTAGCACTAAAAAGAATTTTTTTTATGTCAAAAAGGTAAAGAAGTTATAAAATATGAATTACAATTCAATTAAAAACTTGTTTATCATGTTTATAAAATTCAGTGTTTCTCATCAAAAGATATATACAAAGTTAAGCTGGGCCATAATATATTGATATTAGTGGTTAAGCAACATTAATCAATATTTTGAAACAATCCATATAATTATATAGAATTATATACATTAATCAATTAGATCTAACCAAAAGTCTCTTAATGCGAGTGGAATGCGTAATTTTTCCTTTTGGGTTCAATATTCTTCAGTCAGCTGTTCCATTCATGCATCGTAGTGATTATTGTAAAAATACGGATTTCCGTCATAGCTGGTCCGGTTCCGATCCGTAGTTAGATAACGGTTAATGGCGGACGAAGAAAATTTACAAAAATAAACGATGTTTGATAAGCTATTTGGAAAGGAATATGACGTTTTTAATGCAATAAATGGATCAAACATTTACTGGAGGCAACTTTTATCACTTTCAAATGAAGTAACAAACTTATTTTGCTGCCGAAAGTTAGATTGATGTACACTCTCTGAGTAACAAGTACCGGAAGTGCATGCAGTGATATAAAGTTGTCTTTTTATTAAATAATCTACAACACACGGTAAATTCAATGCTTAAACCTCGTTTCTTAAGAAAATGAATCGTTTATGTATGCATTTCTTTAATAATCAATAAAAAATTGATGTTCTATCAACTTGGTAAAAATTGAAAATGTCCGATGACGAAAGCGACTGAAAGCGAGTATCGTCAACAACAGGGCAACTTGTTTTCACTTTTGAGGGTCGGGCAAAGCGAAGTGACGGACGGGAAAGCGACTTCTTCGCCCTAGTCGCCTGGTAGCGTGAGCCCTGGCCTGATAGAGCCATCTCTGTATTCTTATGTACAATATTTAACCCTATGTACAGAAATATGCTAATTCTATCATTGATCACAATTATCTTAGCTGATCCCTATTTCAGATCTTCATCCCTTTGCTCAACTAGCTGATGGAATGATAACGATTGTAATCAAGCTTATAATATTTCTGTATTGTATGATTGGCAGTCTAGGATATTATTTTATAACTAAACAACTATCTGTCATGACAGGTGTCAAGTAAGAGAATTAGGAGATCCAGCCCAGGTGTACAGTGACTCTATGGAACTAATTGTACGATTAGGGAATTGTGGTGTCATACATGGGGACTTTAATGAGTTTAACCTGATGGTTGATGATGACGGGAATTTAACAATGTACGATTTCCCACAGATGATATCTACATCGCATGCTAATGCAGAATGGTAGGTTTTATTAGGCTGAAACATAAAATCCTCCATAGTATCTTGATAGTTTCATCAACTTGCAGAAAGCTTTCAGTCAATAGGCAGCTTATCTGGGAAGTATTCTTGACTTGGGTTGGGTTTTTTTTATACAGTAAAAAAGAAATTGTAATGTCTATTATTATCTTTAAGATATATGCATAAAACAAATTCAAATATCATGCATATATGTTTTGTTCTGATAATAATTAACAAATAACTGGATATTGCTCGTCAATATTCAACAAAACTTTTTTCTTTGTAAGATTCAATTTAATATGTTTTACACCACTATATATACATTTTACATTTTACAATTTCAATTTTCATTTCTAATAATTTCATCAAAGGAGCAAACATTAATACCTAAAGTAAACAATTGACCTTCAGCAAGAAACTAGCCCTTTTGCATATAGTTAGATCCAATACACATAGCTATATGTTCAAATGACTTTAACAAGTCTTGAACCCCTACATCAGTGATCATAGGCTGAGGTGACTTACACAAACAGATTTCACATACTATGAAGTCCACTTGACCTCCATCAAGATATTTTGGTACATCATTGTACCTATATTTCTAATCAAGGCAAGAAGAAGATAGCCAAATTTATCAGCACTTCCAATTACAGCATATTGATATATGATACACTATGTCATGTCTAATAGTATATTAATTTGATAGGTACTTCAATAGAGATGTAACTTGTATCAGAGAATTCTTTATAAGAAGATTCAATTATGAAAGTGAACTGTATCCTAGTTTTTCTGATATAAAGTAAGTTGTAGTTATGAGTAAATAAAGATATGTGTAAACATTAGGGGACAAAAACCCCACAACACAAATAAACAAAGACACTAACTACAAATCAGCATACAGTCTTCAGTGATAGACAATTATTTATCAAATACCATCTTCTTATACCAAGAATATCTTAGAAAGTAAGCAAAGAAAATTAAATGTAAAATTGATAAAAAAAACTTCTGAAAAAAGGGAATTTTTTTCATGTAAAATATGAAACAATTTCTGTATTCTACTAATGACCTCCAAATTAAATTAATTGAGTGTTGTTCAGTGTGATTAAAACTCCACAATTGAGTAGTTTACTTTATTAGATGTAGTGAGAACAATCTGGGTTCTGTTTATGCAGGGCAGTATTTTTTAATTTGTTGTGTCAATTTAAATTGAAATTTCTTGAAGGTATTGTTTTATTATTCTTTCTCTCCCAATAAGATAATTTGAATGCAAAAAAGGATTCAGTTATGACCTTAATTGAAGAAAAAAATGTTGCTTGATCATCAATATACTTGACAAAGTAAATATTTTTAGGCAGTTAAGCTGCCTTATGCTAGCACCTTAGATTTGTGTTCTTCCTAACGAATGCTGAAAAAAGTGCCATTGTTGTAATCTTGCAGGCTAATATGTTATTTATAACTAATTGGACATTTTTTTCATTCTTTTAATTCTGGAATACAAAAAATATGACCAGAATAACCTTAAATGATCGTCGAACGACGCATAATATTTGAAGTTGCACATAGGAAATAGTGCTCAATAGAAATCCGTACGTAGTTTATTATCCCCTGTGCTTTTGGCTAAGATGGCAAAGAACAATTGTATGAAATATTTCATCGCCGAAAATCTGTAATTACAAGTCGTTTATATTTCCCAAATGGCAAAATGCGCAGGAATATTGTTCATGTACACCAAATCTCTATGATAGAGGGAATAAAGTTATATATAGTACACATGTAGTCTAAGTTGGCGGTAATTTTAACTTACACGAAACGTAAGTTCGTTTGATTCTGATGATATAAAGTCCGATTAAGCGAAAGTACTCTTAATCATGATATTCTTTTAGTTTAAGAAGATTGTGATTATTTAATTGATTTCAATTAAATGTATGCACATTTAAATTCCTTTCTTTTATTAAATTATTCCCGTTTATCACTGAACTTGTTGTTTTCATGAATGAAAAACCGGAAATCGACGTAATCAATGTCGACCAATCAGGTCGATGTTTTAAGAAATGCGGAATAACTCGTCCCAGAGACAAGTCGGACCGAGTCCACTCGGACCGTCTAAGAAAACAACTCGGACCCCTTGTCAGATTAACTTAGGGTTTCATAAAATGTAAGACTAACATGTCCAGCGGAGTCATCAATCTTTCGTTTGTGCATTGGGAACTATTTAGGGGTATTTTGAGGGGCCTAAAGAAGGGAGGGGTTTACTGTAGAACCCTATGGGGTTTTATTTTCAAATGACTATTTATACTCGAAAACAGTAAGTGATAGACACGCGTGGTCTTCAGTAATGAGAACAGGACAATGAAACAAATCAAATAAAATATAGGGTGAGTCCCTGGGGGTCATCCCACCCCCCTTCAATTTGAAAATGTTCTTTTATCTTGTAAACGGTCGCGATCCCCACCCCTAAACCATATATATACTTGTATGGGACAATAAAACAAATCAAATGAAAATTTGGGGGAATCCCTGGCGTCACCCCACCCCCTTCTGTTTCAGAACTTGTAAACGGTCGATATCCCCACCCCTAAACCATATATATTCATGTATGGGACAATATAACAAATTAAATGAAATATAGGGGAGTCCCTGGGGTCACCCCACCCCCTCCTGTTTGAGAACTTGGAAACGGTCGAGATCCCAAACCCTAAACCATATATATTAATATATGGGACAATATAACAAATCAAATGAAATATAGGGGAGTCCCTGGGGTCACCCTAGCCCCTCCTGTTTGAGAACTTGGAAACGGTCGAGATCTCCACCCCTAAACCATATATATTAATGTATGGGACAATATAACAAATCAAATGAAATATAGGGGGAGTCCCTGGGGTCACCCCACCCCCTATTGTTTGAGAACTTGTAAACGGTTGAAATCCCCACTCCTAAACCATATATATTCATGTATGGGACAATATAACAAATCAAATGAAATATAGGGGAGTCCCTGGGGTCAACCCACCCCCTCCTGTTTGAGAACTTGTAAACGGTCCCCACTCCTAAACCATATTTATTCCTGTTTGTCATTTCAAAATAATTTGAATGATATACAGGGTCAATCTCCTAGGCGTCACATTATGTGACATATGCATATCACTTTACTAGACCAAACCAATGTGTACTGGACTTTGCCCAATGTCAGGCGACCAGGGGAATGACGAATTATGGGAGCTTTGTTTGGGAGACTTCGTAACAGCATCCTGTTACAATTATTTCTTGTTTATTAAAAAATTTTATTGATGCAAAAAATGAGTCTAGGTAAATTGAATTTACTTTAATTATTTTTTGAATTATTTCTGGGCCTATAAAAATTTTCATTTATGGCTCATTTTAAAGAAAACATATAAATCTTTCAAGCAGTGTAAAGTCCAAGAATGTTTGACCAATTGTTTTATTTGACCGGAGAACCTGAGATCACCCCCAGTTTTTGGTGGGGTTCGTGTTGCTTAGTCTTCAGTTTTCTATGTTGTGTCATCTGTACTATTATTTGTCTGTTTGTCTTTTTATTTTTGGCCATGGCGTTGTCAGTTTGTTTTCGATCTATGAGTTTGACTGTCCCTCTGGTATCTTTCGTCCCTCTTTTATAATCACCTGTCATTTTATTCCAAACTTGGTATGGAGTGATATCACGGACTTGGGGTGAAGGTGGGGGTCATTTACATTTACTATGGTCAGGGCAGTCAGACCTCACCTTTGATCCCTGTAGTAGTAAACATTTGTCTGATTTGTGTCTCATAACTTTTGTACTGTAGAACCCAAACTCAGTGTTCCTTCCAGGGAAGCAAGTCCATTCAGACAATTACGTCAACTTGTACCACTAAAAGTCAACTGTTACCAACGTTAACTACCAACTAGAACACCTGCAATCATTGCGAACTTGTTTCACTGCAGACTCACCATTAAAAATATACATTGATATATGCGTTGCTTTAGAAAACCTTGATAAAATATTAATTAATTTGCCTTAATAATCAATTCATTAAATAAACATAAATGTACAATATACGAATGTTTAATGTTTGTTCTTTCAAATCTGAAAAAAAAATTTGAAGCAACACTGCCACAGTTTTCATAATTGCGTTTGCCTTGGTTTTTGGTTAACTGCCTGCAGCGCTTACAGTGCTTTGATTATTATTTAATCTACCTAATTTCAGACGTACAGATGATTTGGATGTAGAAGTTGCAGCTAGTGGATATACTAAAGATCTAGCTGAGTCATTTAATGAGGTAAAGTTTAGTGATCTTCTTATGTTGAGGGTATAAAGGTGTCTTTACCTATTAATATTATGTTATTATTCGAATGACTATTTAAAATGGTTGGATGGTCTCTAACAATCAGTTCTATTTTACTTTGCGATATGTTTAAGACAGATCATACAATGTGGGGCCTTTATTTGGAAAGCTTGGTTTTTAAGTGTTTGTGCCCTAAAGAGTGTTTTGGCATCTGTTGTCGTTCATTACTTTCTTACAGTTTCATCTTCTCCATTAAAAATACTGGGTAAACTTAGCAAGATATTTATGGAAGGTCCTTGAAAAAACTAGGTCACTTTAAAATTTCTTGTTCTGTTATAACTATAAAGCCAAATAAAAATGATATAAAAGGCAATCCCCTACAAACATTTATCATTTCATAGGGTGGCATATATGATGGTAGTGGTTCCACATATGTTCCCATTGAACATGTAGCCACATAGGGCTCAAATTGAAGTTTTTATGCCCCCGCCGTAGTGGAGGGGGCATTAAGTTGTACCCTTGTCCGTCTGTACATCCGTACGTACGTCCCAAAATTGGTTTCCGTTCTCTAACTTGAGTTTGCCTCAACCAAATGTTATGAAACTTATACACAATGCTTATTACCACAAAACACAGATCAAGTTCGATTTTTGGTGGCATCACTTTAACCATTCTAGAGTTATGCCCCTTTACAAATGAAAAAATTGCTAAATTTTTTGTTTCCGTTCTCTAACTTGAGTTTGCCTCAACCAAATGTTATGAAACTTATACACAATGCTTATTACCACAAAACACAGTTCAAATTTGAATTTTGGTGGCGTCACTTTAACCATTCTAGAGTTATGCCCCTTTACAAATGGAAAAATTGCTAAATTTTTTGTTTCCATTCTCTTACTTCAGTTTGCCTCAACCAAATGTTTTTAAACTTATACACAATACTTTATTACCACAAAACACAGATCAAGTTTGAAATTTGGTGGCGTCACTTTTACCGTTCTAGAGTTATGCCCCTTTATATATGGAAAAAATTGCTGAATTTTTCGTTTCTGTTCTTTAACTTTAGTTTGCCTCAACCAAATGTTTTGAAACTTATACACAATGCTTATAACCACAAATCACAGATCAAGTTTGAATTTTGGTGGTGTCACTTTTGCCGTTCTAGTTATGCCCCTCTACAAATGGAAAAGTTGCTGAAGTTTTCGTTCTCTTACTTTAGTTTGACTCAACCAAATGTTAGAAAACATATACACAATGGTTATTACCACAAAAATCAGATCAAGTACAAATTTGGGTAGCGTCACTTTTACAGTTCTTGAGTTATATCCCTTTATAACATTATATGCAAGCGGGGGCACCATCTGTGTCCCATGGACACATTCCCCATTTATTTTTAAATTGCATTCTATAGGAATAATGACCATGAGACCCAGTACAGTAATTCACCATTTGTAAATGTTGGAGCCAGTTGTGAGATGCTTGGTCAGGGGACCCTCTAGATTATTCTTGTAAAAAAAAAGTGGAATCTACAGAAATTTAAAGTTTCTCATAAATAACAATGTAACAAAATAGATTAATACAGAAAATCAAGAATAAAGGATGAATGATTTAATTTGTCTCTCATTGTTTCTGAACATTGGGTCTGAAAACAAGATTTGTTGGTTGTTCAATTGGTATTCACTGAAAATTTAAGAAATATAACTATTAAACTAAGAATTGTCTAACTGCAAAATATATGGGGATAAAAGTGTTTCTAGTTCAGAAATATGGACCAAGATTTGAACAAAAGTAGGAAAACATAGTAATTCAACAACTCCATTATTGTCATTTCAAAAACACCTGTACCAGTCAAGTTTCAATTATATGTTGCCATTTAGATATGTATACTAGCCTAGAAAATTTAGCCTTGATAACAGAAAGGTCAGTTTACACCATTAAACAATAGGAGTAGATTAATTTAGCTTCGTGCCGTTTACCTTGTCCAAAATTTAGGTCACTCTATTGCTATTGTGATATTGTTAAAGTCAAAAGAACCATATGTTCTGACCCATACTTAAACTTGAAAAGTTTATGCATGTTGAGTTACTTGTTCAAAATCTGTGAATGTTGAATTATTTTGGGTCATTTCAGGCCTTTTTAAATTGCATTTTACATTACGTTTTGTGATATAAGAAAATACTATCTGTCTGTCTGTTATAGAAATAGACTATGCTTGACATGTTTTCTATTACACTCTCTTGTTCACACCAAAATCTGATTGAGAATTATTTAGTTGAAAAATATTTCAAATGAGATCTTAAATTCTTTCTATCTTAAGGTTCAAATAACAAATGAACAAAATATATATTTTAAAATTGAATGCATTTTGTTTTTCAGAAAAATAAAATCTTTTTTTGGATTTTGAAGAGCATTTTTTTTTTTTTATCATATTAATAGATGATGGTAAAATAAACAAACACCTGAGTTACTTTTGGTACTGTCCACTCAGTTACACCCTTTAGATCACCTGGTGTTGTATAGATTTCTATTCTCCATATCAAATAATAAAATACAAAACAATTAATATTGTTACCTGAGAGGGGGCATCTCAAATATTTTACCCAATTTAGTTTATTTTAACACCTTCTGCAGAAATGAAAAAATGCCCATAAAATCCCCCAAAAAAGAAGATTTTATCTTGCTGTAACACAAAATTCTATTTACTTTTACATATCTTGTGGATGCTAAGAGTAATCGTTAAGCCTTAAAGAGTGACAACTTTATGAACCTTACAGGATTTTTTCCTAAGAAAATACTTTTCTTGTTTAAAATTTGGAGGAAATTTTTTTTGGCACAAAAACATTTGTTCACTTATAAGACATTTTTTTTACCATACAACTTTTTTTCAAAATTTTGGATCAGTCAAAAATTACTTTAAAATTAAGAATGGAAACAGGGAATGTGTCAAAGAGACAACAACTTGACCCAAGAGCAAAAAACATCCAAAGGCCATCAATGGGTCTTCAACACAGCAAGAAAATCCCGCACCCGAAGACGGGCTTCAGCTGGCACCTTAATAATAATGTATACTGGTTCAGCCAAAATGGATGTCACACTAAACTCTAAAACATATAAATGAAACAAAATTAAAAAAACATACAAGGCTAACAAAAGCCAGAGGTTCCTGACTTGGGACAGGCATAAAGATGTGGTGGGGTTAAACATGTTTTGTGAGATCTCAACCCTCCCCCTATACCTCTTAGCCAATGTGGAATAAACAAACACACAGCAATAAGCACAGTAAACCTCAGTTAAAAAGAAGTTTGAATCTGGTGTTAGAATAGGTAACAGAAGAAAATTACAATAATCAACATAAATTAACCAAGTACAACTAGCAGTTACTTACATGCTAACTCCAGGCCTCAAGTAAACTGATTGACAGATTATGTCTTCATTATATGAAAATCAAGCACAATCCCTCCCGTTAGGGGTTTAGTATCATACCATCATAAAATATACGAGAAGAAGATAACCGGTATCATGCCAACAACTGGATTTAGAATAAATGTGTTTATTTCTGGCGATGCAAAGACCCTATGAGCGAATCAATATTAATTTTAAAAGATGTCATCTTTAATGACCTGACAACAGTATTGTAACTATATCCCTTCTGAATAAATCTGTTTAAAGGTTTGGTTAGCTTTTGATGTGAATGACGATATTTTTGTGCTTTGTATAGAATATTTTCATAAAAGATGGGATATGAAATACCTGAACGTATAAGGTGTCTTCACGTTGATTTATATTTACAAATGATGTCCTTGTACCGATAATAAAATTTAGTGAATGTTTTGACAAGTTTGTGATATTGAAAACCCTGGTGTAATAATTTTTCAGTAATACATAGATTTCTTTCGTTAAAATCAAATACTTTGTTACATACACTAGGGAATCGAACAAGTTGAGATATATAAACATCATAAGATGGTCCCAAGGGAATGTCACCATCTAAAAATGGATATTTAACAATAGGAAATGAAAAATCATCTCTTTTATTGTAAATTTTAGTAAGCTTCCCATTAAAGATATAGATATTTAGGCTACCTTTGTACTATGATTACACAATTTAGTGTCACTTTTACTCAGTCAGTCATGGAATAACAGTGCTTTGTCCTTTTTTTCAACAAGGTAAATGGCATGAAGCCAAATTAATCAAATCCTATTGTATGAAAGGGATAAACTGACCTTTCAATTCTCAAGGCAAAATATCTATTTTCTAGGCTAATATACCTATTTAAATGGCTACGTAAAATTGAAATTTGACTGGTACAGGTATTTTAGAAATGACTATAATAATTGACATTGTCTCTTTTATGAAGATTAATTTGGTATGTAAAGAAATAGTTCTATTATTTATAATGCCAAAATTAGGCACGGCAAAATAATGTTGTTTTGTTCTAAAGTATAATTCTATTTTCTTTTTTCAGGCTGCAGAAGAACTTAATATTTTAAAAGGACCTGAGGAGGAAAATTCAGCAGAAACAAAAGAAAATTCAGAGGAAGCATGTGGTGATGATGAAAGTGAAGATTGCAATTCAGAAGGCAGTGATTGTCATGAAAAGGACGATTCTGATTTACAATTAGAGGACAAAATTAATAGCTTAGAAAAATTAGACAGTACATCACCTAATAAAGTCAAACCTGATAAATTTGAAGTTATTTTGGACAAAGATGGTGACAGATTAAAAGAAAATATTTCAGGGGGTGAGAGTAATGATGAACTTGAAGATTTAAGTGTATCTAACAGAGAATATAAGCCTTTTAGAAATGAAGAAAGCATGGAACACATCAATGAACATTTAACTACACATCAACGTCAAAGAAATTCAGACAGTATGTCAAGTAATATTTCTTCTGTTATGGCTCCAGATCTTGTCAAACAAAAGGTTAAAAGACAGATTAAATCTGCTAAACACAGACAGGAAGCTAGGAGGATTAGAAAAAGTGGTGAAGCATCGTTAGTCACCAGAAAAAAGAGAGATACACAAAATGACATTGAACAGAGCATGGGTGCTGTCTGGGGAATGTGAACTATTGTAATAAATTGAAAAATGAAAAAATAGAAAAATAAATTGTATAAAACTATACTTCAATTTCATTATATCATTCAGTAGTATATATTTCTCTGCATGAGGCAGTGCTAAAAGAATTGTTGAAATTGATCTATATTTTTATGCTGCCTCCGCAGCGGAGGGTACATTAAGTGTTACCCTTGTCCTTCTGTACATCTGTCCGTCCCAAAATTAGTTTCCGTTCTCTAACTTTAGCTTCCCTCAACCAAATGTTATGAAACTTATACACAATGCTTATTACCACAAAACACAGATCAAGTTTGAATTTGGGTGGCATCACTTTCACCATTCTTGAGTTATGTCCCTTTATAACATAATATGCAAGCAGGGGCATCATATGTGTCCCATGGACACATTCTCCATTTATTTTATCTCATTATTTACAAGCTTAAGGCATTAACTTTTAAAGTAAAACAGAAATCAAAGTATTGTTCATGTGATATTTATAGCTCACCTGCCCTGGTCTGAAATGTGACCATAATCATCATTTTGTATCCATTATTGATAGGTTTACTTTTTAAAAAATCTTCACTTGAATCACTAGTATTTTTGAAAACAAACATGAACATTATCCTCTAAAAGAAGTGTAGTATTGCACCATCTAGTTTATTTGGTAAATATCTGTTTTCTGCAATTTTCCATGGCAAAATGGAGCTTTATGATGTCATTGGTTTTTAGTCCCCTGCTGACGAAGTCGAAGGAGACTTTAGGTTTGCACTCTGTCTGTCTGTCTGTCTGTCTGTCTGTCTGTCCGTCCATCAGTCCAGCAAATCAGTTTCCCACACTTTTTTCCTTCGTGCTTGAAGATATTGATTTGATATTTGGTGTATTGTTTTATCATGACAAGTTACAGATCAAGTTCAAATTTTGTTCCGGTCTGACGATTTTGTGTAGACTTACAGTCCTTGAACTTAGAAAATTCACTCAAATAATCAGTTTTCCGCACTTTTTTATGCACCGCCGTAGCGTAGGTTTTTTTTTTCTTTATATTTATTAAATAAATATTGTATTCTTGCTTGGTTCCAAATATAAAGTCAATTCTTCAAATAATGAAAACGAAATTAGCATTGGATTATCCGTCAGGACATTGTCAGGACATTAAAAGTTTAACCCTTGTCGGTCTGTACGTCCGTCCGTCCCAAAGTTGGTTTCTGTTCTCTAACTTTTAATTGCCTCAACCAAATGGTATGAAACTTGTACACAATGCTTATTACCACAAATTACAGATCAAGTTTGAATTTTGGTGGCGTCACTTTAACCGTTCTAGAGTTATGTCCTTTACAAATGGAAAAATGCTGAATTTTTCGTTTCCGTTCTCTAACTTAAGTTTGCCTCTACCAAATGCTATGAAACTTATACACAAGGCTTATTATCACAAAATACAGATCAAGTTTGAATTTTGGGGGGTCACTTTTATTGTTCTAGAGTTATGCCCCTTTACAAATGGAAAAAAATGCTAAATTTTTTGTTTCAGTTCTCTAACTTTAGTTTGCCTCAACCAAATGCTATAAAAAAAAAATTGTCATGCTTGAAGATATTGATTTGATGATTGGTATATAGTTTTATCATGACAAGTTACAGATCAAGTTCAAATTTTGTTCCGGTCTAATGATTTTGTGCAGAGTTATGGTCCTTGGTCTTGGAAAATTCACTCAAATAATCAGTTTTCCTCACTTTTTTTAGTCATACTTGAAGATCTTGATTTGATGATTGGTATATAGTTTTATCATGACAAGTTACAGATCAAGTTTGAATTTTGTTCCGGTCTGATGATTTTGTGCAGAGTTATTGTCCTTGGACTTAGAAAATTCACTCAAATAATCAATTTTTCACATTTTTTTTCGTCATGCTTGAAGATATTGACTTGATATTTGTTATATAGTTTACACCATGACAAGTTATAGATCAAGTTAGCATTTTGGTCCAGTACAATGAATTTTCAACCGGTAGGGGACTATGTATTGCCAGGCAATACTCACAGAATGCTTGTTTTAATAGTTACTACAGGTATTTTCAGACAAAGCAATATCTAAGCTTGATTTAGAGTAAACTGTTTGTAAAGCTGTGAAGGCGAGACTTAGGTGTGCTGTTTTAGGCAGTTTGCATAGTTTACCAGTTAAAGTTTCTGATTATGTCAGTTTAAGGGGAACTACTTATAATAAATAGTAGATATGTGGTATGCCATTGCATTAGCATTGGCATATCTCATTTCCACAGAGATTATTTGGCCTTGAACCTTCCGTCATGGTTCATTGACTTTGGATGTTTTTCGTAGATTAAATGTAAAATGTTTTGTCATTTTTATACGACCGCAAAATAATTTTTGGGATCGTATAATGGTATGATGTCATCGTCGTCTGCGTCGTCGTCCGAAGACACATTGGTTTCCGGACAATAACTTTAGTTTAAGTTAATGGATCTCTATGAAATTTTTTAAGAAGGTTCAATACCACAAAAGAAAAGTAGAGATTGATTTTGGGGATGATGGTCCCAACCGTTTAGGAATTAGGGGTCCAAAATGGGCCCAAAACAAACATTTTTCTAGTTTCAGGATAATAACTTGTGTATAAGTATTTCGATTGCTCTGAAATTGTACAACAATGTTTTATACCACAAGTAGAAGGTTGGGATTCATATTAGGGGTTATGGGGCAAACAGTTTAGGAATTAAGGGCCTAAAAGGGGCCAAAAACAACAATTTTTGTAGTTTCCGGACAATAACTTGTGTGTAAGTGTATGGATCTCTCTTGATATTGTACCATAAGGTTCCATATCACAAAGGGAAGGCTTGGATTGAGTTTGGGGGGTAATTGGCTCAAACATGTAGGAATTAGGGGCCAAAAACATGCATTATTCTAGTTTCCAAACAATAACTTGTGTTAGATGTGTATGGATCTCTCTGAAATTGTACTACAAGGTTCCATACTACAGAGGAAAGAATTGGATCGAGTCTTGGGGTAATTGCTCCAAGGAGGGATTCCAAAATTCGCGGGGGGGGGGGGGGGGTGGGGGTGGGGGGGGGGGGGGGGGGGCTTGGGGGGGTGGGGGTGGGGGTTCCATTTTGTTTAAGGAATTCATATTTTTTTCAAAAATTTTCAAATTTCAAATTTTGTAAAAGTTTCAAGAAGTAATCTTCAATTGCACAGTATTGCGCAATAGATTTGTAAGATCTTTTACCACATTTATTTTGTATCAGTAACCTATATTATGTGAAAAATTTGATTCACAATCAAAATTCAGACAGTATCAAGCTTGAATATTATATCCAAATTTGCCCAAACTGTTCAGGGTTCACCCTCTGCGGTTGTATCAGGCTGCGCTCAGCGAAGCATTTTATTATATCACCATTTGAATATTTTGATGCTATGAGTCCGTCCTCCTTACCTACCTTATTTTTTGATGCTATGATTCTTGCCTCCCTACCTACCTCATATTTTGATGTTATGATTCCCACCTTCCTACCTTCCTTTTTTTATGCCCCTGCCGTAGCAGAAGGGGCATTAAGTTTTACCCTTGTCCGTCTGTGCGTACTTTGGTTTCCGTTCTCTAACTTTAGTTTGCCTCAACCAAATGTTATGAAACTTATACACAATGCTTAATACCACAAAACACAGATCAAGTTTGAATTTTGGTGGCGTCACTTATACCGTTCTAGAGTTATGCCCCTTTACAAATGGAAAAAATTGCTGAATTTTTCGTTTCTGTTCTCTAACTTAAGTTTGCCTCAACTAAATGTTATGAAACTTATAAAAAAATGCTTATTACCACAAAACTCAGATCAAGTACAAATTTCGGTAGCGTCACTTTTACAGTTCTTGAGTTGTGTCCCTTTATAATGTTATATGCAAGCGGGGGCATCATCTGTGTCCCATGGACACATTCCCAATTTATTTGATGCTATGATTCATGCAACCTTACCACCTTATATTTTGATGCTATGATTCCTGCCTCCCTACCTACCTTATATTCTGATGTTATGATTCCTGCCTCTCTACCTACCTTATATTATGATGCTTTGATTCCTGCCTCCCTTCCCGCCTCCCTACCTATCTTATATTTTAATACTATGATTCCTGCCTCCCTACCTACCTTATATTTTGATGTTTTCATTCCTGCCTTCATACCAGCCTTAGATTTTGATGTTATGGTACATGCCTCCCTACCAACCTTATATTCTGATGTTTTCATTCCTGCCTTCCTGCCTACCTTATATTTTGATACTGTGATTCCTGCCTTCCTGCCTACCTTATATATTGATATTTTGATTCCTGCCTACCTTATATTTGGATGTTATGATTCCTGCCTTCCTACCTACCTTATATTTTGATGTTATGATTCCTGCCTTCCTGTCGACCTTATATTTGGATGTTATGATTCTTGCCTTCCTATATATATAGCTACCTACCTTATATTTTGATGTTATGATTCTTGCCTTCCTACCTACCTTATATTTTGATGTTATGATTCCTGCCTTCCTGCCTACCTTATATTTTGATGTTTTGATTCCTGTCTTCCTGCCTACCTTATATTTGGATGTTATGATTCATGCCTCCCTATATATATAGCTACCTACCTTATATTTGGATGTTATGATTCCTACCTTCCTGCCTACCTTATATTTTGATGTTATGATTCCTGCCTCCCTACCTACCTTATATTTGGATGTTATGATTCCTGCCTCCCTACCTACCTTATATTTGGATGTTATGATTCCTGCCTTCCTACCTACCTTATATTTGGATGTTATGATTCCTGCCTCCCTACCTACCTTATATTTTGATGTTATGATTCCTGCCTCCCTACCTACCTTATATTTGGATGTTATGATTCCTGCCTCCCTACCTACCTTATATTTGGATGTTATGATTCCTGCCTCCCTACCTACCTTATATTTTGATGTTATGATTCCTGCCTCCCTACCTACCTTATATTTGGATGTTATGATTCCTGCCTCCCTACCTACCTTATATTTTGATGTTATGATTCCTGCCTCCCTACCTACCTTATATTTTGATG